AACGGCCTCAGGACGGCTCATTCGCTCACAACAGAAAGAATGTTGCTTTGCTTCTTTCAGTAAACGAGCCATTAACTGTGGCTTACAACATTTCAATCTCTATCATTTTAGCAGCACAAATAATGACGGGTTTATACGAGTATGTAACATACAGAAAACTATGTTCTGCTCTGTGTTGACACTTGGTGAAACTGGTTTAAAAAAAACAGAAGGATGGCAAAAAGATTTTTGGTAGGAAATAAATTTCATTGCTAAAACAGAGTCAAACTTGCTTCCAGTAGAACTGAAATGTTTTCCTCCAACAACCAAATACTTGAGTGACAACAGAACAATAATGTATCAAATATTTAATCCACAACCACTGATAATGCTTGTTCAGTACAACTATTACAGAACTGACCAGTCTGAGCTTTTTGCACGATTATGTCTCCTCTCACCAGTGAAATATTCCTGATTACACTCAATTACCTACACACCAAGTAAGAAATTTGGTTTTACATAAGCTTGCAAAGCTATTAGAAAAGCCCACTATTTCTTTCAAGATTAATTTCATTTCAATCTGAAACACAAAAAATCGCTAAATCTTTTAAATCTATAGTGTAAAATGTGAATACTTTGATTTGTTGAGACAAAACTAATGGTTACCTTTCAGACAACATACAAATACATAACTAATCTTTAAAACTTGACCATCTGAAAAAGATCTGAAGACTAAGAGTTGAAGATGATTAATTGAAGCTCATTTTGTGTTGCACATAATGTGATTAGCGTTGGAAAACATACTGATGCAGTGAGTTATCATCAAGGAAAAATATCTAAAAGAAAAACAAACTACTTCAAATGCTATTTTGTGTTGATTAGCGGATGAAAATAAGCCTCAGCTATGTGTCACCGTATTGGAATCCATAGTTTTTAAAGAAAGGAAGCACAAAACCACATGTTGTAACTGCAGAGAGAGTAAATGCTGAGCTGTCTACAAGCTAAAGCTAAACCAATAAGCTTTAAAGGTAATGAGATGTTAGGCTTTTTCCACTAGAGACAATTTTAGAAAGAAAACAAAAACTAATTAATTATTCAACATAACATGTCATAAATGGTTGTCACGAATAATTAAGATTTTGAACCTTTGTCTAGCTCTTGTTTGCAAGACAATCCATAAAGATAAATTTAAGTAAACTTAAGTAAATCTGCTTTTAATCAACTGGAGGTAACATGTAGTGTTCAGACTTTCCAGCATGACCTGTTTGCTGCTGGTGCAGTAGATCTTGTTCTGCCTCTCGTTTGGTTGCTTGTAAACGAGTGCGTTTACCTTTTCCCCACAGGACACAAAAAAAAGCAAAACGTCCTCAACAATCCCTTCCAAATCTAAAACCATCAAACTTCCAACATCTCTTTAGGTAACCTTCTAACTGTTTTTATTTGTTCACAAAGAAATGTGAGGTTTTCAAATCATTTAGTCAGAAAAATGTCTCTCAATTTATGTTTACTAATAATTAAACAGAGCAATGAAACCATAGACTTGTGGTTGCCAATTAATTAGAGGGAATGAGATGGCTCATATTTGCTGCCGAATTTTAATAATTTAAACACTTCTGTTAGGCAATCCATGTCATTCCCGTGAGGCAATAAATTTGCATTCTGTGAGTATCAGAGTGTGCAAGATTGGCAAATAATTTTACAGAGCAACTACACAAAAGCAGAAAGGAGAGTTTACGTTTAACTTTCACTTCACTAAACAGCTATCCAATAGAAAGCTTTAGTTTTGGGGGAAGGAAAAGAAGTCTCAGCATGCACAAATCCAGTCTGCAATGAAGTTTTTTTTTCTTCCTTCGCTCCATAATGTTGTTGAAAATACAACAGAAAAACTTAGCTTTTTAATGTACATCGCTGTCAGAACAACAAAATATTCAATAGAAACACAAACTTCAGACTCTGCAAGTAACTGACTGCATTCCTCAAAATGGGCCTTCTCACATGACTACTAGCTTCCACAGTCATATCTCCAAACTTGCCAAGTCACTATCTAAGACAGATCACTTAAAGAGTGTTTGCTTTGCGACACAGACAGATGCGCACAAGTTTGATCTAGTTTCAGAATATTTCCCTCCAGGACAAATAGCAGAGAAGGCGAAGCCTTAGGTCAATGCTGTCGCACAGCATTGACCTAAGGAGCTGACAGCACACCACCTGTGCAAATATGTTAGCCAGCTAACAGCTAAATCTGACCGAAAATGTTTCATCACGCTTACGATAAAGAAACGGCAACCACTGGCATGCAGCGTAGTATGCGAAAAGGCTATTTAACTGAAGTAAACTAAATATATCTAAAATTTATTAAGTGTGAATGTTTAGAAAAATAAAACACAGAACAAGGCCCGTGTCACTACTGAGCAGGTGGGCCATGCAAACACGCAGCAATTTTCGGCCACTTTTCTCCTAATAAATAAATGCTGACACTTACACGGTTTAACAATAAAATAACTCTGCGTTGAGATTGCACGCGTTTGTGTCCCATTCGGTTAAAAAAGGATGTCAAATCTTTTAAAGCGACAGCCAAGACCGCCGCTGGCTCATTTGAATGGAGGAACATGGGGCCTGTTAGCCAGCGTTGCCATGCTGCTTGTGTTTCAATGAGGCTGGAGTGGGTTTGGGGGGCATTAGCAAGCACTTTTCTGTACTCACAATTTCAATGACACGACTACTTTAATGTTTTAAATGACAACACCAAACTAACTACAAAAATAACATCCCCTCCTAAAGCATTTGTTCCGAATCCAATACAAACGAAATACATCTGTAAGGCTCTATATAACGGTAAACGCTAAATCCATCTGGAGTTGTTGTTGTTGCACTGGCTAACGTGAGCTAACTAGCTTAGCTACCTGAGTGCTGGAAGAAGCCATGCTCCCGGTGAGATTTTCACTCCTCCGCCGACGAGATGAAAACTTCCCCGGGAAGGTTTTATGAGTTTGTAATGACAACTACAAACGGTGCTCTACTTCGACGTCATTGTCAGTTGTCCAACAATATACTGGCGGTCGGAGTTTTTCGATCCATGTAATGCATCAGCACTTCACGCTGCTCTCCTGGCCGTCACCGCCATTTCCGTCGGTTGTAGTGGCAGCGTGAGCCCGAGAGTAACGCAAAAATACTTCCGGTGATGGTTCACTCCAACTTTCAAAATAAAAGCGTCTGTGTTTTGTCACTGACATCCATAACTGACGACTAGTGTTAGGGATAGTATAAAGTTGAAAAAATTAAAATAAAAACACAGGTTGGTGTAATTAGATTTAGAAAACAATAAGGAAGTTTTGAAAACAAAATAAGAGCTGATTTTACTTTGTGTACTCACTGCATTCACCAAATACAAGCAAAAATGTCATCCTGACGTTGACAAGTCAGCATTTTACATTCACCCACGATCAGGCCTGGATTTAGAAAGATGTGGGCCCCTTGGACAGAGCCGGTTTGGATACCCTTTTACTCTCGCACAAACTGTTTAGACTAATAGTTAGATGCAAACTTAAAGTTTTTTAGTTCTTGTTCACATAAAAACATATCTTTATAATTATCCCTTCAAGGCTGTTTACAATACATGATGCATCATTCATAGATGAGTAAACGTTAACTTCATCCATAGAAAAAGCAGTTGCGTTAAAGTTACTATCTGAGATCGCACATGGAGATTTAACACAGTCACTGAAATTCAGCAAAACAAAAGAAAGGAGTGGAGCTGAAGTCTGATTTAGGTATTTGTCACATAATAGTTTTTAAATGGTTTCAGATGAGTAAACTCCTCAAAAATCAAACAAGTAAAACACACCCCACTGATATAGGTCTACAACATTCTTCATGAATGTTGTATTTCAACATCCAACCATTAAAATAATAACTCCTTGGATGCCATTGCTGTTGCCCAAAGTCTGCAATTTGTGCCAAAAGGACCCGCAAACTTTTAAAAAGACATATTATTTGTCACTAAAACATTGAAAATCCTCATGTAGAAACTCAACAGGCCATCTAATTCTCTTAGTGTTCTCTTTACTGTTTTAAAACTGCAATTAGCAAGGTGCAAGAGGCTTGTAGCACCAAAACACAGGCTCCTTTTTTGTCAAATAAGCTGGATTTCTGTTATAAATCTTGTTTTAAAACTGATCTTGCAAAGACATCGATGTTATCATGTCAGGAGCGATCATTTTTTTAAAGTCTTTAAGTCTTAACCGTCCCCTTTCCACCCTGGACAACTGCCTATATGGGTCATATTATAAACTATTAACTTCTTGCTTATGGTGGAGAATGGGTATTCCAATTGATTTGGAAAAAGCAGAAGTTCCAAATGTTTCAAGTCACTTTTGGTGTGTGAGAAAAAAAATCAGGAGACACAGGGACAGTGTGGTAGACTAAGAAAATCTCTTTGAAATGACTACAAGTCATTCTGAAGATGGTTTCTCGAACTATATTTGTAAAACAACATAATCAGTTTTAGGACACCACGATTAGACACAGAACTCAAGCTGTTTTTATGGTGCTGATTCATGCAAATACGTCCAAACAAACCTGTTAAGAATTGGTTCATTATTTGAATAAAATAGGAAATAAATGACATCATTGTGACATTTATATTGAAAGGGATCCTTTCCCATGCGGAAGTGCTTTGAGTAACACGATCACACTCACTGGCACGACGCTTGACCTCGCGCTCTGTGTCCGGGTTGTGGCGTGAATCGCAAATCTTTGCACTTCGTCAAGTCAAGTCAACCAAAAATAAGTTGGTTTAAATCACCATTCCCAGTGTGTGCATAAGTCTTCTCGTGGGGTTCAAACAAAGTGGAGACGATACAATGAAAAATAAAAGTGATTTAACTCATTTCTGCTCTGATTTCCTTATTTAGTAAAATTCAACCTGATGGGGAGGAGGGGACTGTTTTTGGTGATCCTGTCTGGATCAACAAATGAATGCATTCATGCTTCACGTGTGGAAGTACTGGCCCTGACTGAGTCCCACCCATGATTCAGTCAGTGGAGATGAAGTTACACACCAAACACAAAGAAGTCTCCCATCGAGTGGGCGTGGCCGCTGAACAGGTGAGCGGAGAAGATCTCCAACAGGAAGTCGCCACAGGTGGATTGCGCTGCTTTGCTCAAAACGAAAACAAGCTGAGGTAAGGACGGGACTTAGGGAAAATACAAACTGGGTTTCAGGTTCTGGATAAAAACACAATCATGTCAGTTTTAGAGCGAAAAGATAATTAATCTGACCGGATTGTTCCCGCGTTTCTGCGCGCTGTAATAACAGTATCACTATGCTAAAGTCATACTGATTGAAATCGTCCAGTATGCTTTTCTCCCCGCAGATTAGACATAGAAAAATATACCAATACTCTAAGCAACATTTAAAAAAAAATTAAACCAGATTGCATTTTAAAAATGCACTCAAGGAGAAATGCATTGAACCTGGGGACATGTTTTGTGGTTTGATTAAAGTAAAATTTTGGCTTTTCAGTATAATGAAAGAGGAGTTCCAAGCCTGACAATCCCATCTCAGTTGTGACGTACAACAAACCGGTACATTCCAGAAAAGCAACATCTCCGGATATCAGAGAAGTAGTTAAAGTTACATCACAATTACCAATGAGGAACATATCAGCAAATTCATCGCAAAGTGGATTAAGGTCAACAAAATCAGTGTTTTGGGATGTCTATCACAAAACCTTATCTGTGTAGACCTGAAAAGAACTATGTGAGCAAAGTGGTCTACAACACTGACTCAGTTTCTTTATTTCTGTAAGAAAGAAGAGGTCAACAATCCACCAAACTGGAACTATCCACCAAACTGTAAATAGGGGAGCATTGACTTTACACCTTATAAATTTTAAAGTCAATGCTCCCCTGTTTGTTTCACAAAATCCAGGGATATCTCTTTTCATTATGCTGGCATTAGGCAAATAAATCTAATTTGGTAATTCTATCTGGCCTGAACCAGAAAACATTTAGACTTATTGTGGAATAGTGAGGAAAAAAATGTTAAAGTTTTCATACATTTGGTTTTAACTGTAGATCCATCCACGCATTTTTTGTGCTCCCTTGTCCCCTGTGGGGTCAGCAGGGGTGCTGCTGCCTGTCTCCAGGGAGGCATTTTGGACGAGAGGCGGTGTACACCCTGGACAGGTCGCCAGTCTGTCGCAGGGTTTTAACTGTAGATATTCCACCTCACTGCTTTGCTGCTTGTTGTGTCTCGTAAGCTTCTTGGTTGTGCACAAGCCAACCATCCACTCTGTTTATTGGAGTCTGTAATAGGATTCATGTCCGTAATCTTCTTCAGCAGCTACAGGGAGATGCCAGACAGGGGGAGACACCATCAGAGGAGTGATGTGTCCGCAGAGTACAAGAGCAGGGGACAGCACTCTCTGTATGATAACCAGAGACACAGCCGAAACCCCGGAGGTGCAGAGGAGCGATTCAGCAGTGGCAGAAGAACTAAAGAGAACAGAAAGAGAGAAGTGACAAGTCCTCCTTTTCATAAGGGGTCAGCTGCATACATTGCTCATGAAAGGCCCTCGGCCCTGTAAGGAAACTTGATGAAGGCTTGATATTTGTTGTTTTATGTTGCAATGAAGGTCATGTTACACCTCTAAATAAAATGGTGTTGTCTTTGAAGGGCCAGAGAAACATCAGTGTCTAACCATGAGGTTTATCAACAACAGCACAGAGAAGCCCTGTACAATTTAAGATACATCCTAACCTCTAGAGGTAAGTATATTCCCTTTGAGGTTCTTCTGTGAAGCTCAAACTTCAATATTTCTGTTTATTACCATGTAGCAACAGATCTGTAACGACAGGTGCGACATTTCATCCAGGGGGTTTTGTCGTCCGTTATTGTGACGTTTAGCTTTTTTACTTTTCAGTATATTTACATTTAATATTTGCTGTTCTTAAATGCATACTCCTAAACTGCATCAAACCTGATTTAATTTTCAATGAATTTGGACTTCTCTAAGACAAAGTAAAAATTTCCAGTGAAGCAAATATCTTTTGTCAGAGAAAAGATCTGGAAATCTGACATTTTTGCTGTAAATGTACTATAGAAGCCGCACCGAGGTCGGTGTTAAAGCTATGATCTCGCTGCTCTCTGTTGCATGTCTCTCAGGTATCTGCCAGCTCTTGGAGATCTCTGTGAATCTTCTTATCATAATCTGTGCTGGAGTGCCGTACAGCAACAACGGGGGTTACCGGGACCTGGCCAGCCTCGGAGGAATTTACGCTTATTACTTTGGAGGTGCCAGCGCCTTTACTGGAGCTGATGCCGACAGAGTCAAGGAGCTGGACCGCCTCTTCCACCAGCTCAAGCGTCCTCCATATGTCTTTACAATGGCCTGCGGTGGGATTTTGATGATATATGCCTGTGTCATGTTTGGCCTGGGGGTCTTCAGGGTCTCCTACCGCTGGCCCATTGTGCTGCTTGTGGAAGCTGTTGTGAATTTTCTGATTGGCTTAGGTTACATCGCTGGGTTGGTTTTCTACTTTATTAACATACAGGAAACCTACCAAAACCCCATCTGTCAGGAGAGGGAGCAGATGTACAAGAGCAAAGGACACAAAGGCTTTGAGTGCAGCTTTAATGGTGCAGATATCGCAGGAGGATTGTTTGGAGTGGCAGGGATTTGTGTTTTCATCTTTGGTGGGGTGCTGGCAGTCAGAGCCTTCAAATCAATGCGAGAGCAGAAGAATGAAAGAACAAATGAGGACAATTATTTTTAAACATGCTTTTCTTACTTACATTAGAGAAAACATTTAACAGATTGGAAGGGATTTCCATGAAGTATTTTTCTGTTCTAAATTTCTTTCTGTAAGTTGGAATACATATTTTTTTAAATTCTTTCTTCTGTTTCACTTTTGTACTGAGCTCTATATATTTTTTTGTAAATGTCATAATAAACAGCCAGATGAGTGCACATACAATTTCATTTTTTGGCTTGTAAAATGAGGCAATTGAAAAACAACTTTTATTTCCACTTGTGAGATTATGATAGAACATTTGACATCCTGGAAATAAAATCATAAGCTGTTCTTAATATGGGATGTGTTAGGCAGAGGAGGAGTTGGTGAAATAAATTCAAAACTCATCTTGTGATCGCTTTATTTCTTGCATGAGATTTGGATAAATGACAGAATCTTGACCACCACAATTAAGTATGAGGGACATTAATGTAGTTGTGTGTCAGGGTTAGAGCGGACCCTGACAAAAATACTTTATTATAACTATTAGGATCGCTTCTCTTTTAACATAAAACAATCCTTTTAACCTTATCTTGAAATCTAACAATGCAAGAGCTACTCCGGTGGTTTGAATATATTTACACAAGAAGTTGTTATGTGTGGTTTTGTTGATTTGATGCACATTTATAATAGTGAGTCTTTCAATCTTTGCCAGACTGCAGGGTGCATTTCTAAGCTTCTCCAGTAGGTGGCATCTACTTTATTCAGCAATGAACCTAAACAATAAAAACATGCAGAAGTCTAAAGCCTAATTGCATGTGGCATGTAGAGACAAAAGCCTTTAACTTAAACTAACAGATACATTAGATGTGGGAGGTTAAACTGCTAAACCACTGTAAATATATAGGCACAAGAAAACATATACAAACCATCCTGCCCTTTTATTCCTTATGTTTTAGACATTTGATATTTGTCTTCAAACATACATTTTTAACTGACCCATGTGTACCGAGCAACTAAAAAATGATCATCAACATGGTCACTGAAATGAAGCTGGACAAAACCATTCACAGTAAAAAGTTTTATTGCTACTTGGCTTAAAGTTAATTTGAAAAAAAAAATCATTAAAAACTGAAAATAATAATAGCAGCATCTGAAATAAAAAAATGATTATCTTTTATTTCACAGAAGGTTCATATGAGCATAAGTCTCTGAAAAACAGCAAAAGTGCTCTTTGTTAGCTCCATTCCTAAACAATGTTATTGTTTATTACTCAACATAAAGTTTAGCAGCAATCAGCATGCTAGAAAAAAATATATTGGATATGCTTCATTTTATACAAATAAACTATATTTTATATATACGTTTCTCAGTTGACTTGTATTTAGCACATGCTTCCAGTATGAAATACAGTTACAGTTAGTACCTTCAATGGTGCCCTAATGAGTGGCAGTTTTCTAAGGAATCCCTATAGTTTTCAATTCTGTAGCAAGAGGGTGATAGAAATGTGCATGATACAATAAAGTACAAAAATAAACATCAAGCTTCTTGGCATCGAGGAGGAAAAAAAAAAAAGTCAAGCATTTTTTAAGAAAATAATCTGCAGAAAGAAAACATGACATTAGACAGTGGCTACTTTGGTCACGTGTTATACAGTTGGAGCGCCTCTGATCGGTTTCGTTCACAGCTCAGAGTTACAGTCAAACCATTGGTCACACAGGCATGCATGCACTTCACACTACACAGAAACACAGATACTTCTGCAAGCTTGTTTAGATGTGCAAAGAGGAAGTACTACTCCAAAGTTTAAAAAAAACAAATCACGAGAAAAACAATGTCTGCTTTAATGTGAATTCCCTCTTCTTAAAAATATTTAAGGAGTTTTGTGCTAAGTATTTTCTTTTGAACCAAAGCACATTCTTCACACCTCCCTGTTTCTGTGCATGCAGTTCCAGGCAGATTTCAGTGCACAATGACTGCCTCATCAAAAATAAGTCATACTTGAAGCTGGAAAAAATATAGCAGAGGATAAAATGGCATCAGACAGGAGACGGCAACAGTTTAAGAAAGTCAAATGATGTCAAAAATGGATTTAGCTAGTTTGGAGAGGAAATGTCATATTCATTTTGGACTAGCAACAAAGCACAAAGACAGCAGGTTAAAAAAAAAACAGCTCAGTGAAACATAAGCACAACCCCGACTACATCATACATACACACAGCACTCAATTTTAAGACATTTTAAGTGACAGGACTTATGTGGTTTCGGGTGCTAAAGTGACACGCTCATCACATTTATATTTACACTTGACATGTTGCATATTTTACAAGAGAACTCAAAAGATCACACCATTTTGTGAGACCTGTGGGAAAGTTCAAGCTCTCCTCTGTTGACTCGCACAATCATAATCTGTCTCAGAATGTCTGCAGTGTCCGTGAATGTCTCGCTGACTTCGGGCCGGACGCCAGACGCATTGAGCGGATCATGGACGTCAGAACCTCAGAGTCCCACGTGTTCGGCATCTCAGACATGGGTCGATAAAGTGACAAGAATTAATTATTCGCTTTAGCAAAGTGCTTTGTAGGTAAAATCTGTACTTTTATAACTAGAAAAATAATTCAAGGGCTTTGATGATATGCATGATACAATGTGAAGCAATACTTTTTTGTGTGTTATTTTTAGGGAGATTTTGAGAAAGAGAAAACAATTAAGCACAATATTTTTGACCAAGACTGAGCCATGAATATAAGCAACAGAATATGTTCAGTCTGATTTGTGTAAATGATAAAAATAAGTTAAAGACAGCATTAAAATGACATGATTACAAGAAAACAGACACAAACAAGCTATAAATAAATGTTGTGGCAAATACAACAAAAACTACCCTTTGTTTAGTGATATTTCTGCCAACTACCTTCCACATTACTGTCAGTGGTTTCCTTTACAAATGTTGTGTGTGACTGAGAAACCTGTTGTTAAACTGCTAAACATTAAGTGAAACACACGTGATCGCAGATTTAACTCTTTTTTTGTACAAAGTGCTCATAGCATTTAGTTGAAGGTACAACAACTTGGCAAGCAAAAAACTGAGGATTCCTCACACTTAAGGCTTACACATGCTCTGCAAAAACAGAAAAAAATATTCACCTCAGAACAGATGTTCTTGTAGTTTGTTCTTAAAATAGTATCTGGCAAGAACTTCTTTTCTTACATATGCAAAAGAAACAAATTTGTCCAATTTTTTATAGTATGTGCTGGCCTTTAAAGATTATTCCTGGGAAAACAGAATAGAGATGGACAACTCAAAGGACTTCTCTGAATTTAGGATCAAAGTAGAAGGAAAATTGTAAAACTAACATCATAATAAGCGACAACAGCAAACATTGGACAACTTCTAACCACAGAAGTCCAGCTAAAAAAGTTGGAGGCATTCGGAGCTGGACAAAGTGAGGTTTCTAGGGCAGTACGATACTGAGTTTCCCCTAATAATTTAGGCATCATAAATACAATTATAGTTCATAACCATGGGTACAGAAACCTCAGGATTTACTGGCACTGAAAGTAAATATCATTATAAAAAAATCTTTTATTCCACCAGCATAATATCAAACAGAAACCAGAGAAATCCAACCTCTAGCTTAGTGCATGTATCCTGTGGAGTCAAATACCGTAAGAAATAATTGCTTTATGCAGAACTGCCACGGCAACATTTAATGGAAATTTCTTATAGCTAACTGAGACTTATTAAATCTATACATAGCTTTTTGTTTACAAGTAGATCAGAGTTACTAGTTCTAACTAGTAATTTTTACTTCTTAAGTAATAATATTTTGAAATCAGGCTACTACTGAACGTAGTGTGAAGTCAGTACTTTGGTTCTCTGGACTCGATAAAGGTCCATTTATCATTAAAGATAGTGGGTGCAAATAATGGCTGAGGGCTCTGTGTTATCATGTAACATGATGCCAAAGCTTTGAAGGGGGGAAGAAATTGTTGCATACTCTGAGTGACTTACTTAGTAAGAAAGTCCTTCTGGTGTCAAATACCGCATACGTCATATCTTTTTATTTTGTTTGCTGAAATCTGAAGAAGCATTCACCAATGATTTAAAAAAGCAATACAGCACATAAACGTATATAGAAAAGAAAAAAAAAACAACTTCAAAATGACATCAGGACAAGCCTCTATTTCTAAGATTTAATCTTCAAAAATTTCTGAACGTTTGGAATGAATACTTTGTAATAGTTTGAACATTGTTTAAATTTTGTTCACCTAAGATATTTGTTCAGATTCATTTCCATGTTGTTCAGGTCAAGTCAAGTGATTGAGCTGTAAGTTTTCCACTCAGCTATGACTGATTTCTTGCCAGTCAAACATTCATCTTGCCCTGACAAATCCCATTTCCTCTAACCGCAGTTTGGCAAAGCAGCTTCTAAGTCCAACATTTGACAGAACAAGCAGAAAAATAGAGGGGAAAAAAAAAATAAAATCCATGGAGTAAAAGTGAGAAAATGACAAGTAGATGACAAGTTTGTTCATAGCATCGCTGTATAATATAACTACTATCAGCAGCCTCAAATGTTAATAAATAAGAATAATCTGTCTACACATAAAAAGAGATTTTAAATAAGAAGATAGATAAAACATCATTTTACACTTGCACTGACTGTCTGGCTGATTTGTTCAAATGAATAAGTCAGAATGTGTTCAAAATGCTTAAACTCAAAATATTTATTCTTCTTTTATGGGGATTCATCTTCACTGATCATTCTACTGTCACAATCACTAAAGCTGAATATCTTCACTGTCAAACAACCCATAAAAGGTCTGCAGTGCACTTGAAGCTAATCCCTCAGTGGCTGCAGAGAGTGATTTCTACAACGATTGATCCAGTTTGTAAGATTCTATAAAATAAAACCCAAATTAATAATTTGAACAACATAAAGGCAGTTATTCTTGACTTTTATGTTGGTGACATCTTAAGTCTTTTCAGTTCTTTATTTTTTTTTGTAAAGTTGACATGTGACCTTTGGGTCAGGATTGAGATTTCTCTTTGAAAGTAAAACAAAATACAATGCTGATATTCTTTTGAACGTACCATTTGGGTTAAGAGATTATCTCCAGTTCTCTTTGTGTGAGCCACTAAGAGACGAGAGTTGTATCTGCACCCACTAGACAATTTTCACTGAAGAGACATGGAAACTATAGCATCATTTTCTGTTGGAACATCATGAAGCGAAAAGTTACTGGTGAAAAGACGTCCACTTAAAAATATTTGAATGTAGTTGAAAGTTGTTTGGGGTTGAGCAAAGCTCAACTTTATTTAGGCTGAATTCTGATGGGATTATGAGACAAAAACTCAAGTTTTCAACATATTTTTCTGCACTAAACAAAGACAGCAATGGACCGAGCTTCAATAGCCATAGAAAGGTGTCCAGGGACATCGAGTGTTCGTACAGACCGTGTTCTGTCTGACTATCGCTAAAACAAACTCTCATCCCAACTCTTAACCTGGATGCGTTGAGCTCTCTGATGTGTCGTCCATATTAGGCACTTTTTCAAGCTTCAGTCTCTGCAGGACCTGAGACACCTTTGGGTTCCTGGTGGGGAGACCAACCACAATCTTTTCTGCATCCATCAGATTGCTTAACTTTCCAAGTAAAGGGAAATGCTGTTGATATATTGGACGTGTGGAAACCTTGTTCAGCCCTATATTCTGCTTATCTCTCTTTAATGGCACAGTATCAGTTTTTAACAGAGTTCTAAAGGCTTTTCTTGTCTTCTTAAAATGTTTTCAAATGGCAACTTCTTCCAACTAAACCAGCTGTAGGAGATAGTCCTACATCTCTAGAATGGCACAATCCACACTGGAGCCAAATGGCTGTCTCAGTGTCCTAGAGGGCGGTATCGTAGACTTCCTGCTGCAGGACGGTAGCGAGGCCTGGTCCTGGAACTAAGGTGGAGGCAAATGCAGGAGGGTGTGGTTGGTCCCATAGTGGATCTTTTACGCAAGTGGGTGTTGGCAGTGTGGAGATGCCCGAGACATGAAGGCTCTGGCCTTTCAGCTGCTCTCTGACCTCCTGCTCAAGACCAGGAGGCACAATTAGCTGGTCCTCTGGGTCCTGCTGAGCTGGGGCGGTGAAGTACCCAGATTTTTTCTTAGGCGCCTCCAGGGCAACCTCAATGATATTATGACTGTCTTCTGGGGCCACCACAGAACCATTGGACAGTTTCTTACCGAATAGGCTGGATGTGGAAGGTGACTTCTTGAGGTCTCCATTCTCTCTACCACATACAGCCAGCAGACAACCATTTGTAGCAGAAACCACCACGCTATTCTGTCTGCGCATTTTGCCGTTGCGATTTTCAAGATTCAGCTCCTTCGGGCTCTCAGGGGCCCCTGGCCGGAGCTGGAAAGCACAGCAGTGAATGTCTACCTCCACCTCTAACTTACTACCATTAGAGATGACCCCTTCAAGTGGAGCTTCATCATCGCTGTCCAAGCCGTTGTCAGACTGGTTGCTTGAGAAAGTAGCACTAGAGGGCTGGCGCTGGAAAACACCGGGGTGAGTTCTTGTTGGAGCTGGACCTGGGACCATGATCCCGCAGACTGCAGGAGCAGGGTGGAGGCTGCAGCGCCTCTCTGGGCGAGACGCAGGGCCAGAGGATGGGTGCTCATCCGAAGCGGTGGACCCTGCCTCACTGCCCACCTCCGAGGCTGATGTCTCACTGCTGAACTCGGTACCAATGCCACTGCTAGACGAGATGTTTCCTGAATCACTGGGGCATGGAGTCACAGACACTGGCATAGGGGCCGGGGTTGGACCCCGCAGTTCATCGTTCAACACCGACGGCTCACAAGTACAGCTGTCCTCACCAACATGCAGTGACACCACCACGGCTCCGATGTTGTCCTTGCAGCCATAGCTCTGGGCAAGGGAGCACAGTTTCTTGGCGGCCGCATGTGGATCCCGCATGGCCTGTACAGTATACACAGCCTCCTGATAGGACACATGCTCAAAAAGGACCCGGTTCCCTAGGATCAGGAACTCATCCTTGGCACAGAGTGGCTCAGTGTGCACCCAGGGCTTTGGAAGCACCCAGGGAGACAGATATGAACAGCCCAACAAGCGAGAGCAGCACGTCACTCCACTCACTTTGTTATCCTAGAAAAGAGATAGTGCCAAAGAAACATTGCATCATATCATTACGAACAGATTCTACGTCTATCACATTTAGAGTGAGTATTACCTCTGTTATAATGGCTTTATTGACTTTAACCCTCTCCATCTCCTCGGTGGAGTTCTCCAAGCTGAAAACCTTTGAGAGCTGTACAGGCCGTCCATCACGGCACAGAATGGCCTGGCATGTTCCAACGTTAGCCACAGTTAGGCTAAAGCAGCTCCCGGGCTCCGACGTCTCACGGTGAATGTAGCACAACAAGGCTGATGCACCGAGTTTCTGTCCAGCCATGCCAAGTTTTCTGTTCAGCAGGAAAGAAACTAGAAATAAAATATTCTGATAAACAGCAAACAGAATAAACAGACTTGTCTTACCTGTGTGAGGTGAGAAATGTGTTGCACATGTACATTGTGTCAACACAGGAGTGCTGGAGTTCTTCGCAAAGCACATCTCCCATGGTGCACTGCAGGAGGCGTGGCACCTCCTCGTTGCGGTCGCCATCAAAGATCCCGTAACAACCTTCGCCACCGTCTCCAAAACGGTCCACGGCAAGCACGGAAACACACAACCTGTTCCACACAAGCAGATTCATCTCGTCAAAAGAACGATACAGTAACTTTCAGACATTTGGCAGTAACTCTCCTTGCACGCACTGTTTCACCTCTTTCCCACGCTCTCCTTTGCTTTGGACAGTTTCTGCTACTTGTAGTGTCCCTGTTCCACTTCAGCCCCTCTCATTTATACTCGTATATTCTTTCTTGCTACAACTAGATTCCACCATCATAACTCCACCTTTCCAGCTTTTTTCTCTAACTGCATCCTATTCTCACTGCCGATCACAATATCATCTGCAAACATCATAATCCTTGGAGACTCCAGTCTAACCTCATCTGTCCAAAGCAAACAGGGAACCTAAAAGGCTTAAACTGGACAAAAAGAAAAACAAAATACAAAAGCTGTGGGGAACTGTTTTGTTTATCATAATGCACTGGTCTGTACTTGTATTCCTTTTCTCAAGCACTGAAGTTGCCATTGTGTTGAGACTAAATGTTTTGTCAAATTTGCTTACTTGAGAATCAATACAGGTAAAAATTCCCAAAAAAAGGAGTGACTCCTTGATAAAAAGAAAAACTTATTTTATAAATTTTGTTCAGTGTCGTACGTTACATGCAATGCACCAAAGAAGAATGATATTTTGGTGTTTCACAAGAAAAAAATAAGAAAGCTTGGCATATGCAGACTTAATGAGGCGCAACAATATTTGCATCTGCATTCGCGTCCTTCACTAAAGCAGATTTAGTGGTATAATTTATTTAGTTTCTGTTATGATAAAGGAAGTCTACAAAAAGTAATTACCAATCCTTCCCTGTAAATAAAACAAATCTTGGAAAAGCAAAAGAAGAACACACTTATTCCTTTGGCCTCTCATCTCGGAGTAACCGTGCTTCCAGAGAGTCGAGGAGCCCAGGGAGTCTCCGGGTGTCGGGGCAGATTTCTGGTCTAATTTCAGCGTGGTAATGTGGCTGCAGGGGAGGAACAGGAGAAAATAACAGGAAACACTGCAGAACAAGGTGTGTAATGAATGCATAAAAAACTTGTTTGGTAAAATGCTGCCGTGTTTCGTTTTATTTCTTTGTGTTTCTTTTTTGTTTTATTGTTCAAATGTGTGTTTTCCGAGAAATGTCCCTTCCTCACTTTTCATTTTCCAGAACCATTATTGGTTTTATGTTTTTGCGCCTCAAGGCCGCAGAATCCAAAATGTTTAATTTCAGGCTTTTAAAACGGGCAAAATGCTGCGGGCGGCTCTGCATGCCGTGACTCACCTGAACAGATTGAGGGTTTTGTGTTCCAGCGTCAGGCTGCGGTTGCCCGTCAAGTCCAGCTCTTGCAGTGTGGCAGGCAAGGAGTCAGGTAGTTGAATCTCAGTCAGCTCATTGCAGCTTAGATCTACAAGCTGCGTGTAGAAACATTCAAAGCACATGTAAGCTGGAGAACGCTGAGGACAACCGTCTGAAATTTGAAATGGCACAAACAAGAGAGGAAACAAGTCTGACCTTGATCTCAGGCAGGTTGAGGATTTCTGGGAAGACGGTTATTTGATTCGAGTGTGCTATGAGAGTGTGCAGCCGCTTGCAGCTGGACACCGTGGAGGGGATCGTCTTTAGCTTGTTCCCACTTAAATTTAGCTCCTCCAGCAGTTCCAGTTTACTCAGCTTACTGGAAACAGGAGAATACACATTCAAATATAAACCATTGGCTGATCACAATTAATGATAAATCTATTTCCTTAAGACTTTAAGTACTAGTAACAAAAATGACAGCCATTTGTGAGCTCAGTTAGCTGTGATAGATGGGAAACTCACCTGGCTGGGAAGGAGAGCAGCTGGTTGTAAGCGATGTGAAGGATCCGCAGGTTCTGGTGTCCGACCAACAGAGCGCCGCAGTTCTCGTTCAGATTGTTCCCGGTCAGGTAGAGCTCCTGGAGAGTGCTGAGGCTCTCTTCTGATTGGCTACTGGGGGGAATACTTTGCAGGGCGTTGGCTGACACGTTTAAGTATTTCAGGCTGGGAAGACAAAAAACAAAGTAAGAAAAACAGAACAAAGTCAGGAGTTAGCCTAATCCGGATCTGGTCTGATACGTCTTCCACTGATATTTCACTGCAATCCAGAACTCTGCAAACATAACATCATTTATTCAGATGCTACAAGAAAAGGCCATTTTAATACTTTAAATACTTTAACACATTAAGTATGTGTGTGTGTATTTATTTAATTGACTAACAAAAATTTGCAGTATATTTATTCTTCTGACCGGAAGCGATATTAATATTTTGGAGTAACTCAGCAGGAGTCAAAACTCGAATCTGATACAGAATCTGTGGATGGAGCCAAACATTAGGGCGATGGTCAGGAGGCCAACTGACCTGAAAGACTCAGAGCTCATTACCAAAGATTAACTAGTGGAAACATACAAAAAAAAACTGATCAATAATTGTGAGACGTGAACAGCAAAAATTTGTGTTACTGTCTTTTGATTTATGCTTTTCTTTTTCTAATTTCATATCAGAAACTAACTTGGTTCAATAAAATCTTTCTAAATCAAAATCTGCAGTGGCTCTGAATAAATCAGGACTTATCTTTGCATTTATATCATGTAGTATATGCTTTAATATTTTTATTCGCGGCAGTATAGTAAATCATTTAACAGATAATAAAAGTTATGACCAAGGTTTCTTGTACTCAGTACAAACTCCAGCAAAATAAAAGGAGAGTTTAGAAAGAAACGCCAAACTAGTCCCAGAACGGACCGTGACAGATGTGTAAATGGCTGCCAGGTTCGGTAATTTCCTTTTTATTTTCCTAAATGTGCTGCAGAAGATATAGTTAATCACAGAGGTAAACATCCTCGCGAGTGGAGGACTGATTTGAATATTCATTAAGCTGCATAGTAAAGGGTGGCAGTAATTTGAACTGCAGTAGATCTTACGTAACCGGCGTAATTAAGTCATTACTGGTGTGTATCACACACTGGGCAGTAATAAAACTTGATGCAGTAAAATGTGAATCCTGTCATGTTTTTAAACAGTCTTTGCTGAGGAGTAGCTCATAAACACTGAAAGCCTGTTAGGATCTCGCTGCTTGTGTGGCTTTTTACTACACAAAGGAAAGCAGGTAAAACAAAACTCCAACAATCCTCTCAGTTTCTGTTGCATGTTAGTCAGTCCTGAATGCAGCTGTGGTTAACTGCATGTTTTGCAGTTCTCGACAACATGTCAGGAGATCCATTTCTTTTCAGAAGTCACTGCCATAACATCTCCGCATCAGAGACAGCAAAGTGCTTCAGGACAACTCAACAGCTAATGGGTGTTAAGTGGTTTACCACATCGGAAATAAGGAAGCAAAAAATGCTCTAGTTATGGTTGGGAAAGCTGCATTGATCTTGACCACATTTGCTCCAACAAATCTATATGGTGCTGCGTTACAGTAACCGTTCACAGAAACAGAGCAGGACTCAGACTGCCGGTAAGAAGTTGTAAAGCAGAGAAACCTGTGGATGAAGGATCTTAAAGCCATCAAATAAAGAGTTAAGGGCAATCACCCTCTTTAAAAGGTAAGAAGACTAACTTTAAGGCCTTGTAAAAGAGACTCTCTGGAAGTTCGCTCAGCTTGTTATGCTGCAGGTCAAGGGCTTCCAGAGGAATATGGTCAAGTAGGTCAGGCACTCTCTGCAAACGATTGTTCCCCGTCAGCAGTTTCCTCAAACTTAAGCTGTTCAGCAACCTGTTGGAGACATTACAGAGAGAAATCAGGACAAATCCATATCCAGCTGCAGACACCAAACGTTTATTCTCCTCTGAGCATCGTCACAGAATTCACAGCCGGGCATGTCGGTCATGATTCTGCTTTTTCTACGCTAGAATGGTCAACAATTGCAATTGCGGCGCTCCATAAAGAATTTAGAAGTAAATACAGTGCCTTGAAAAATTTCTAACACTTTGTCACATCTTAATTTATGACCTGTCTGCTGTGTGTTCATGGTGCTGTTTGTTCTCTAATGTTCCCTGACAAAAATTTGAGGCTTTCACACAACATCTACATGTATACTGATGTTCAACAACACAGAGGTGGACTTTATTGACTAGGTGACTTCTGAAAGCATTGGTGGCACTGGGGTTTTATTTTGCAAAGAGTTATCAGATTAAAATAAGCTAAAATGCCACATGTTTGAGAATTTTACATGATGAAAAAATAACTAACATATCCCTGTCCATCCACTTCACTATTATGCACTATTTTATGCTGGTCTTTCACATGTGCATTTCACATTGCACATGTGAAATGTAACATGTTACATGTAAATGTAACATGTAACATGAATGTAACATGAAGAAAATGTGAACAAAGTCTCACGGCATGAATACTTTTGCAAGTATTCAAAAGTTGCAAAAGTTTTGAATACTTGTTGAATATTAACACACTATATTTATCCAAGTTAAATATACAAGGAAAAAAACAGAAATATAAGCAACGTAGCACCTGATGTACATATGAATTCCAGTTGTGTGTTAAATTATATACAAAAAGTAAATGAATAAAATTGTGAAATGATTTGATTTGAAAAAAAAAAAAAAACAAGTTCAAACCTGGAAGGAAGTTCAAACAGCAGGTTGTGTTGAAGCTCCAGCATCTCAATTTTTCGACAGTCACACACCCAGGCTGGAAGGTATTCCAACAGGTTCCTGTCTCAACACACATAAACCAGAAAGAAAAACACTCAGACTGAGCAAAGCTGGTGTTTTGATTTTTTCCACCTGTATTGTTTTGGGATTATCTGACTGTCCCTTTTTATAGCTTTATATAGCTTTAACCTCCAATATCTGGAAATTATTCAGCATTACTGTGTTTCTGATACTGCAGTAATTCTTTAATTAATTCATGTCAATTGACTTCTGAATTATTAAGGTGGAAAAAAACACGTAAACAATTCAACATCTTGCAAAGCAATGTAGTAACAATAAGTAATTTTTAGCTCAATGAATAAAATTTAAATCAAAGCTGAAAAGAAAAACAAAACTTTTTCTTTTGCAAAAACGTTTAAGCACAAGTTTAAACAATTTTTTTTACTTGTCTTAATTTCATACTTAAATTGGAAATAAATTGGAAGCGCATTTCTATCACTTAAAAAAAGCATATGAAGCGGCTATGTCATAATAATGAGTTTCAAAGTTCTAATGTTCACTTTTCATAAATATGAGCTGTAAAGTTGGTGGTTTTGTGTTACGGCAAGTTAAGTTTATCTGTGGAAACGAGATATTTAAGGTGCTTTACATGTTGAAAACACAAAGGGAGTTTATTACACTGGCATAAGAAATGAAGGTAAAGAAAGTCAGAATAATGATACACTAAGTGAACATTGTGATCGTCACACATTTAATTCTTCCACACGCTCAGTAAATCAAATATATAACTTTCTGTCTCATAAGAATAAGGTCTGGCTTCTTTTTTTCTTTCAAGAGGCAAAAATGAGCTTTCATACATGTCACTTGTATTTTTAATACTTTTTTCTTTGTGAATCCGATTTACTTTGCACATTTTGCTCTACATCCTCATACCTAAAAGTATGTAGGGCTCTGTAATAACTGGAACAGATTTTTTTTCCATAAATAAAAGTTTACAAGACACCCTTCAAATGTTTTTCTAGTCAGACAAGCATTTATCCTCACTGGCAGTGTATAGTTATAATATTACTTTATGTATCAGTTTTGAGCTGTGCAAAAACGTTGAAAATATTAACCTGCTTGAAAAAAAAACACACACAGTGGTTATTCCAAAGAGGAATAATCATTTATTCTGCTCGTAATATTGTTATGTAAGCATAATATGCTGTTCATGCCAATGGGCTTCATGTATTTAGCAGAATACAATAATGTGAATAGTTACATAGTTTCATGTTAAAGGCTGTTAAAGACAGACCCTATGAACTGCTAACATCCAGTCATGATGACACATTGTGTTGGTGTCAATTATATTTAGGTCTCAATTATTCTAGTAGACCCAAATTTCAAAACACAAACAAATAAGACATTATTAAAGTCTATGAAAGTAGAAAAAGCAAGTGAAACTTAATTAGTCAGTTTTTTAAAAAGTACTAAAAGTAAATACTAGTGCACCTGTAAATAAGCCTGAGTAATATTTCAAAAGTGGGATTTTTTTTTTAAGTGAAACTATAGATTCAAAATATTCACTGATTTTCAGCAACATAATTTTGCCCACACATGCTGCGGTATTCAGCATGAACTAAAAGCATAAGAAAATAACTTCTTTTTATGGAATGTAAGAAAATCTCTGTGACTCCACATCCACCTCTTGTTCCTGTGCAGAACTCACTGTGAAAGGTCCATGTGTGTGAGCTGGTTCGGGACTGGATAGACGTTGACTGTTGTGAGGCCTGCAGGAAGACAAAGGCACCGATCATCATCAGTGAAACATCTGCATCGTTTCTGTCTCTTGTGGGTTGGTAAGTTGAATGCATCGTCACAGCAAAGGGCCACACGGGGAGGGGGGAGGTAATAATAGCAGCCAGTTGACGCTCCGTTTCACTCACGGTTGCTGCCGGCATGAAGCATGCGCAGTGAGAAACCGCTGAGCGTGAGTGTCCCCAGCTGGTTCCGCTGGCAGTGCAGAGTCTCCAGGTTGCAGACGGAGCTCAGGTCGAGCGAGTCCAAGCAATTATCGCGCAAGTCCAGCTGGGTTACGTGGCTCACTAGATCTGGAGTCTCACATTTAACACACCTGAGTCCGTTCAACCTGAAAATAATAGAGCAAACTGGATGAAGCCTTAACATGTCTGCAGGAACACAGCAGAGAAGCAAAATCTGACAATTATTTGTGAAATAGCACAACCACTTTGCAAAAAGGAGTTGAATAACAGCAGCAAATGAACCACAACACTGTGACTTCTGCAAAGCTGTTTTGGTGGTCACAATGTTATGACTTTTTCGGTCTAGATAAACAGGTAGGAGAGTTTCAGGAGACATGACTGCCAGGTGATGCACTGTGATTAAGGCTCTCGGTCACATGTGTCAAACTCGAGGCTTGGGGGCCAAATCTGGCCCACCGTAGGTTTTAATGTGGCCTTTTAGACTCCAGATTACATCAACTAGTCCCTCCAGTTTTTCACAAATCTGCAAAATTCATACAAAATCAGCAGATCCTCGCATTTTGTTTTTTCAGATTTTTACTGCAAATTTATCTTAAAATTGGCCAAAAACATTTAAGTGACTTCTGCCTCATCCTTAGTTGATGTTAACCAATAGTCCGTGATCAATATGGCGAGTAATAAAACGTTACATTATCATCATACATTAGTGAAAATATCATAAAAATTATTTACAAATATTTCTAAATTAGCGCCACAAAATGTGTGATTTTGATTGCAAAAAGAAATCCTGGATGGACCGAGCAATGTGAAAAGATGTTCAGTACTATTTAATTTTAAGAAATTCCTGTTGAATACTGTCAGAAAGAGCTATTTATTGATATTTTAACAGTTTAGTGGGTTTTATCAATGCATTTTGGCTCAACCCACCTTTTAAGAACATTCAGATTTTTGATATGGCCCAAAATAAAAATGAGTTTGACATCCCTGCTCACGTTAACTCATATTCATAAACAGTAACTTCTCTTTGATAAGAACTGCAAGCCAACTAATCCATCACAGATGCACCTTTGTCCTTATAAATGCAGCCTGCTGGGGTCGAGCCACACCTCAAGCCCCAAGGTTAGGTCATTATCTGGCTGCTGCTGGAGTACAAGTTGCTGGTTCAATCCCCAGGGCTGCAGGATATTCATTGAGAACAGCTTTCATCTCCTTTATTACCTGCCTCAGAGGTCCTGGTGAGCAAAGTGCTTAGTGTCCCACGGTTTATGTGCAGAACAGCAGGATGCTGAATTGCAGCAGCAAAAAAAAAAAAAAATGACTGTGGTTGGCAGCTCCCAGGTGTGAATGTAGGCGTGAAATAGGGCAATGCAGTAAAAGGCATTCGTTCACAGCACATCTGGCATCTATAAATAAATATTAGTTAAAAAAGAGGCTTGGAAGAGCACTGGAGCAGCTGAAGTTCAGGCTGGAGTTTGTGACAGAATATTTCTTTTTCTATCCACAATTTGAAAAGACAATTAAAAAGAAGCAAAAACTACAACTATCTGAAAACACACAGAGATTCCCTCTGTTGACAGAGAAAAGAGGAAGCTAGAGAGCTACAGAAAACGACCTACCGCAGATCGATGTTCCTCAGGTGGATCATTCGAGCCAGAGTGGTCAGCTCCAAGCTCTCCACTCTGTTCCCGGCCATGGCCAGCTTGTCCACTGCACACAGTTTCTCCAGGACCGTTGGGATGTGAGAGAAGTTGTTGAAGGAGAGACCCAAGCTGTTGAGCTGAGACAGATCACCAAGCTCTTCAGGTAGTGAGCTTAGGTGGTTCCCATCCAAACAAAGAGTCTGCAGGCTAAGGGATGGGGAAAAAAAGGATTGTTTGTTTATCAGCCTTTGGGGTAAATGGTTACTGAGCAACTTCCAATGCTGAGCAGATATAGTAGTCCATAATTTAACCAAATATGTCATTCAATTCAGCTCAGATTATTTAAAATGATATTACCAATAATAACAAACTTTAGACTAATTTCACCAGAGCATAGATCTATATTTAGTTGGTTTAAAAGTGGAGCAGAAGAGAGAGAGCATTGATAACAAATCAGTGTTCAAGAGCCATAACTCTTGATCATGGAACAGCGATTACACTTTGAAACAAGATCTGAATCATTGCAAAGCCAGAAGAAATTTATAACATTTACAGAAGCTCTCTAGCTTCCTCTTATAACATTTGACAAATGAAAGCTTGTCCCATTTTAGCATAAGCACTCAAAGGGATCAGCTTTTGTGTAACTTTAATATTTAACATATGCTAGTCCAGGAAAATACAGAGAGTTGTGATTGTAATTTGGATGCTAGAACATAAACCCTGTAAATCATTACTGCTTAAATAAATAAAAAAATGAATTTGATGAGAGTTTTTACTCATCCTCACTACATTTTATTAGTTTAATCAATATTTCCTTTGAGGTTAGATGACTTTTTTATTATCATATTTGAACATAAGTTCACTATTCAATGCGACTGCCTGGTAACTGCGAACATATTTTCATACCTTATACATATCTATATATATTACACATATATATATATAGATATATGTACTATATAATAGTTTATCCTATTTGCTGTATTTTTGTGCTACGACTAACCATGCGAATCATCCTCTGTGTTTTGTATATAATCTCTGTCTATGTCATGTGTGCTGCAGATGTGCCTCTGACCTCTGCAGGTTGCCAATCTGAACAGGGACGGTGTGCAGATTGTTGCAGGACAGGTTCAGCTCGGTCAGAGAGAGAATCTCACCCACACACTCAGGGAACACACCCAGACGGTTGTGAGATATGTTCAGACTCTTCAGCTGGGAAAACCTAAAGAGAAAGGGAAAAATGCTTGTTTAGCCTTTAGAACATTTTTTGTTATTGCTTCATCCTCTATCTGTATTATGAGCTCTTTTGCAAAAATATCATTCATATGTACTGGGAGAAAGATAATGTGGTCCAAAAGCTACGTGACTAAGATTGTCTAAAAAGCTTTTAAGAAGTTATTATAACAGGAAATTAATCAAAAATAACTTGTGATGAACAACAAACAGAGGCTCTGTGGTTTAAAGTTACTTTAGAACCAGCTAAAGAACTGATCATAAAGCATCAAGAGCACTGGAAGGTCAGATGTTTGCATGTTTAATGGGACAGGATTTTTTTTTTTTACAGTGAAATCTAAATGTCTAAGTGTTGTTCTCAGCAAGTATCTCATCAGATTCTCATCAGTGGCAATATCTACAAACAAAAGGCTGCCTAGTGATGCTGTAGGCAGATGAGGATGTAAAATGGATGATAGTCATTCACTACAGCCGCTCTAATGACACATCACTTAAGAACAACCAGAGCAGAAATGAAAAGCAGCTAAATTCCTGTCCCTGGTAATGGACAACACGCAGATAAAAAGATTTTCACATTCCTGTTATAGACCAGAGGTAGTTTATGCTCTGTATTGGTTCACATGCAAATGACAAGAAACATATAAAGAGCAATGCTAGACGAGCTGAGTGTTTAAGAAATGAATGACGTAGTGATTGTGTGTGATTTTACACACAGTAAAATTAAAGATTATTTTTGTGATGGAACAAATTTAAACTGCTTCTGTAATTTTAACCAAGTAAACTGTTTTTTATGATGATGATGATAATCGCTGGTTAATGGTGTGTTGTGTTAAAACTGGGTTTCCAAACTGTGGTGGAAGTCAGCGATCTTATCTGCCTTCAGTCGTTGGAACAATCAATTTTCAGGTCAATAACATTTTGAACTGTGATGTGAAGCAACTGAGCAGCAAAAGCCAAAAAGGTGAGTTGGTGGTGATTATGTTTGCTAATGAAATTCCCAAATAAACTAAGGCAGAGGGCTACCTGGAACATGCAATCTCTATTTACTTCTAAAGTGGGAACATGGATGTGAGAATGGCTTCAAAGCCCAGTGCAACCATTTTCAGGTTCCAAGTGTGACAACCATTTGTAGCGACCAGGCTCACGTTAGCAACATCTTACTAAATGAGATTATACAGTTCAGACCATGAGAAAATAATCATCCAGCAGGCAAATAAACTGCTTTTTGCTTGGCTTTTGCTAAGTTATATGCAAGGCAGCCGAATCAGATTTTGAAATCAGGGTTGATTTGAATCTGCAACGCTCACTGTTAGCTTTTCAAGCTTAAAAAGTAAAAGAAGAGAGTTTAGATACAGTACATTCTTCAACCAATATACCTAGCTAGCCTTGCTATGACAGATAACTTGTTTTCTTTGGTGCAACTGCTCAAAATAAATCCAATGAAGTCAATTCTGACATTTTGAGTGGAGTTGATTCCCGGCTGTAGGAGCCACCACACAGTGTTAATCCAGAGAAAATGTGTGAATCTCCAGGTACCTGGGGAGGTTCAGCAGGCTTCCAGGTCCCTGCAGCCTCATGAAGTTGTGCCGCAGGTTGAGGTGGGTGAGATCTTGACAGTAAAACAGATATTCAGGCACCGTCTCCAGGCTGTAGCAGGACAGGTCCACAACACTCACCGTCTGAGAAACCACCTGCTCACACACGCACATGCACACACACACACACACACACACACGCACACACACATGCACACACACACACACACACACACACAAGAGAGATGGGAATAAGTGAAATACTTAAGCTAATGTCTAACGTGTCTTGTCGCGTTCCAGCAACATACACTGATGCTCTGCTGCAGTTTTAGACAAAGGCCAAATTACAGGGTTCTTTACACTTTATTCTTCTCCACATCTCATCTGAGGTAAATGTAAAATTGCAGCAAGATATGTGATATTTTTGTTACTTGCTACAGTGATAATCAGTCTAAAACTTCTTTGGGCCTTTTTGATTTCTACTGGATCCATTAAGTGAACGCAAATCAATCAAACCAACTTTACTTTGATGTTCGCTTTTCATATGTTCAATTGTAGCATGAAGTATTTTTGCAGAAACTAAATCAAGACTCAAATAACATTTCTCTAGAGCCACAAAAACCCTTGATGGTAAAAGCTCATCAAGTTTTGTGGATATAGTACGTATCACTGTTTATTTTTTCCTTTTGAGAAAAACTAAACATTATTTGAAAACATCAAAAGTTACAATGAGAATATAAAGCAACAGAGGAGTTCTCACTTCGAAAATAAACTAAATTTAATTAAAACATTCAAATGGAAGACCCCTAGAGCGATTCCTTTTTAGGGTCTTTACATACAAATTCTGTTTGCATTGTAAATAAGCAAATTCTTTTGGGAGTCTTTAGAAAGATGTTGCTCATGTTGCAGAAACCCTGAGTTAGGGAAATAAAAGAGCATAAAAGCAAGAGAGTCATCATATGTGTGATTGGTCCGAGTTTTGTTTGAACAAGAGAGAAGCCAAATACATTCGGTCCACACAAATAAAACTAGACCTCTCACGCATTCTCTGTTTCCCAGGCTGAGAAGGATGTCCTTAATCTGGAGCAAGGACAACATGATAAATGTTAGTCACTGAATAATCTGTTACACAGCTAGTGTTACCTCGTGAATGTCATTTTTACATCAAGCCATGATAAATCACAAACTAATCTAAAGGGTGAAAGATAAGAGACTCGTGATGTTTTTGCCTCGTGTGAAACATTGACCGTCATGGCGCTAAAGACTTTGATAATTATTTCTCTTTGGTTTTAGGGTTCTGCGCCATACTGGGTTAATTTTGCGTAGTAGATTTTGGTGATCATTTTAACGTCTTCATTCTGCTCAGTTGTTTGTTGTACTTTCTTTGCTTATTAATAAGCAAAGCGCCTCAGTTCAGACTCCCCACATCAGATTCCCCTGGTCCCTGTCGTTTACGTCACCTCCCTTGTTTTTACACCCCTGGTTTCCTGAAAGCCATCGTCTCTGATCTTTTTTTGTTTCTTCTTTATTTCTAGCATTTTTCCCTGCTTATTTAAAACAGGGACAATGTGCGCAAGATATTAATAAAATATGCTTTGAACCAGATTTATCTTAATCTGGTTTCCATCTTTAATAAAATAGTCTAATATCATAAAGCATACATTGAAAGTCTCCATATACCCAATATACAATCACTATACGAATCCATGCAGCCAATGCAGACAGCGCTGATTTTCAATCAGCCATTACAAGAAAAGTCTCTCAGGTTGGAGGAAAGTTTAAGACTTTTTGGTAGTTTGTTACTCTCTGTAATGCTTTGAGTGAGAAGGCTGTCTGTGCAAAGGCAGAGCTAAGATATTGATTTCTGAACTCTTCCTGAGTTAAACCATTAGTATTGTCGTTAATGAATTACTGCAATATGAACTTGTTTTCTTTGCATTATTTGAGGTCTGAAAGCTCTGCATCTTTTTGCTATTTTGACCATTTCTCATTTTCTGCAAATAAATACTAAAGTTTTGCTTGGAATCTCAGAAACATGTTGTCAGTTGTTCATAGAATAAAAGAACAATGTTCATTTTACTCAAACATGTAACTATAAAAAGTAAAATCAGAGAAATCGATCATTTTAAGCGGTCTCTTAATTTTTTCCAGAGCTGTATACAACTTAGGGAAGAGTGAAAAAGTGACAAGTCGGATGGAAATTAAACCCATATGTCCAGTTCTGCATTTTTAATACTCTAACCTAGACGTTTTCATGGGAACTTTGTTACCTGTTTTTTACTCACCCTTGCATTCACAGTGACCCTCCTGGGAGATCCTTGTGACGAGACAAATGCACACACTGACTTTCTCTCTCTATATATACATACACAGACTTAATGGTTTAGATAATTTATGCAGGGTTGCATAAAAACTGTCCACAAAGCTTCCATCAGTCATGATCTGTAGCTACAAAAACCCTTTGGTCTTCATGTCTGTCTAACTACAGTGCATTAAAAGGCCTTTTCTAAGCAAATACTCCATACCACAGGAGGCAGAGAGAAGTTGTGGATTTACCATGAATCTGTAGTTAATTGCGTACTTTTTATGACTTCCTATTCCTGATCTCCTCCTTTTGCAAACTGCTTCCTGGCTCTGGCTCAGCTCAGACTCTCGCATCATTCAGCTCCAGAAAGGAGCCGTAACAACATCACCCCGTAATTATTATATTATGCGCAAAGCAAACCGAGCAGAGCAGAACTTCAAGAAGAGAAACAGCTGTAAGCAGTTGACGTCATTCTCTGAAAAACAGAGCAAGACCCAAATACAGAAATATATTGATGCTAAAGTAGCATTTGCTAATCCACAGTGACTCACAAGATAAAACGCTCCCCTGCCGAGAGACGCTGGACGAAAAACAAAAACAGATGTATCCACGAACGGAGGTAAGTACAATCTGAGGAGACCTGTGGGCTTGAATTAATAAACATCTCATTTGTGTAGCCAGTGAGATGTCTGGGAGCCACCTCGACATCAAATCTCTGATGAATGCGCAAACCCAGCAGGGCCAGCTGGGAACAAACATCCGCTGGCTGAAAGGAAACCATTCCAGGAATACTGTGCGACGCATGCACATGCACATGCACATGCATATGCACATGCACATGCCGCCACACGCTCTGGGTTCCCTGCTTACTTTTGACGCCTGCCGGTGCCATCGCTGGTAGTCGGCGAGCGTGTCGAAATTGACAAAGTAAGTTTGTGCCTGCGATCCGGCGGAGCTCAACATCAGACAGTGCTGCCTCCGCTTCACCTCCTCAACCTGGACGCAGTGAAAACAGAAAGAAAGTGAAGACGCTTTGTCTCCATTAAGTTGGTGAAATTTATGTCGAAAACCTCAAACTTTGCATATGATTACTGTTCATTACCAATATTAGCTGGATCACAGGACATATTATGGTGCTTCACACACAATGAGCAGTTAAAACAACCAATCAAGGTGCCGGTCTGACCGATTTGAAGCCATTCCCACTGCCTTTCTTCCTGAGACGCTAAGATTTGTTTTCAGTTTTATAGATTGCGATGGTTTCGAGTCAATGCTGACTGAAGTCATACAGCAGAAGTTTAATGATCCAACTCGTCTTTGGTTACACACAATCTGCTGAGGGAAAATGTGAGAGCAAATCAGCAAAATAAATAAATAAAAAATTAAACTCTTGGCATGTCATAAGTTAGACCATTTGTTTATCTACATCTATCATGAGTAAAATTCAATTAGACCAACGAAGCGCTGTTTGTGCAACCAGATGGCAAATCAAATGATCAGTGAAGAGAAACATCATTTACACCAAGGCAAAGGCTCAATGTTGGTCTTTAATAATAAAAAGCTGATATATATGTTGGAGGGGAAACTGCAGACCCACACTAAAGAGACTGTCAGGAAGTAGAAGAAGAGCTTTGAGGATCTTCTGAATCAACTCAGCACCTTCCTGCTTTGTGGAAGAGGCAGAGCTGGAGAAATTGGGGTCAGGAGTATTGGAGATGCTGAAAACTCTTGACATGTTTGGTCATGTTTGACAACACCTGTGGAGTGGCAGACTGTCATGGTGGAATAAGAAAATGAAATGAAAAGGCTTTTCAAGCTATGTGGGATCATGTTTCTCAACTTCCTTGGGAAAGTTTATTTCAGGTTATTGAAAAGGATCCAAGAGGAATCATGTAGCCTCTGTCCAAGCCAGTGGACCTGACCTTTACCCTTCTGGAGTATCTGAACCAGTCGTGTGGCTTTGTTATCCAGGCTATGTAGTTTTGTGGATCTTGACAATGTGGTGACAGAGATGCATGGTCAAATAATCAAGAGTTTTCTTTCGAATGAGAGTTGGAGCACTGCATGAGTTAGCAGCCAATTCTGTTTTTAATAACACTTGATCTTCAACGGTGTGATATTGTGTAATTTCAATGCACATAATGTCATTTTAAAGCCCAGTCACTTAGCTAGGTCACCATTTTCTCTTCTAAAAATAATGTCTAACATGACTCAAAGGAAGTCTGATGTCATTTGATGCCTTCAAATTGGGTCCCTGTCTCTTTAAAAAGCTCCTGTTCTTTCCGTTTACAATTGCTGGACTGAGATAAGTCTGTGTTTTTCATATCAAAGCATTTGATGAAGCTTACAGCTGCATTTTAATGTTTTTACTTGGTGAAAATATGTAAGTGTGGATTGGGTTGTAGCCTCTATCCTGTGGAGAACAAGATGTCAATGCAAATTCAGATCATGAAACTCATGAACTCTCACCTTTCCGCCCACCAGGGGCAGGATATGCATCTTCCCCGCCAGACTGTCTTTCACAGAGGCCACTATTAAACACGTGCCGCACAGAATAACCTGCCGCTCTGCCCACTTGTGCAGCTGCGTCTTGCCTTTTCGGACGCTGAACACACCCTTCAACAAGGTCCGCTCCTGCTGGTCTGCATTCACTGGCCTCTCTAGAGGGAAACAGACCCACACAAAGGTTAATATGGGCCCACAGGCATTTATCTAACACACAAGACCCCCTAATTCTTAGAACCAATTCAGTTTCGGAGAAACAGAAACAGCTAATTACTGGCACGTGTTCAGGCTCTACAGAGATTAGATGCTTCCAGAAAATGAAGTCATATAGAAAGTCATGGATCAGTCATGATCCGTCTGATATCACCTGTTTATTAGACGCCGCAATGTTCCAGGAAATGATGTTACATCACTACTTAGGATAGAAACAGCTTCTTTACCTTAGCCTACATCAATAAAACATGATTCTGCACAGCAAAAATTATGAAACAATTTCTTGGTTTTTTTGCTACCACCAAGTGCTAGATGTATGGATAAATGAATCGGCTTTTGTCACATTAAAAGTCATTCTGCCCAGTTTATTTCTGCCAGCTTGCACAGTGGGAAACCCAGTGGCCACCATAGCAGGACTTCAGAGCTGCTGTCTCTGCCAGCTTTCAAGAACACTCAGTTAGGAGACAAGCCAATTAAGCTCAAAGGAGAAAGAGCCCACCTCAGACTCCTGTCCTCTGTTTTTAAATTCCCCTCAAACCAACTCATGCTTCCTCCCACTCTGATGCTCTTTTTGAGAATCTGCTTACTCTAGCGCATTTTGTCCGGCTCATTCTTTTTCTCCGTGTCCCTTTCACTTTGCAAGGGCATTGAGACACAGAGAAATACTCCTGCTGCTATTCCTCAGCAGACAAGCGATCACGAAGAAGTTAAGTGTGCTTGACAACAAACTGCTTAGCTGCAAATTTTTTGTTGTCTTTTGAAAATTAGAGACACGATACGTTATTTTACTGAAATGAAGTTTAATAAAAGAGAACAACTATAGCTTCCTTGTTAGTACATATTAAAAAAGTACTAAATAACTTCACCCAGGCTAAATGGGTGTTCTTACTAACTAAACCATAGGGTCTCTTCAATCTGGTGTTCAGATATAAATAAAAGAAATACATTGTATTATTTCTCCACCTCCGTGACATGTAGCTGTTTTAACTCAAAACAAAAATAAACTGTTTTGGGAAAAGTGTTCACATGTTTTCAGTATCAAACTACATATTGCAGGTATTTAACGGTGCGGAGGAGAATTGAAGGATCCAGAGGTGGAGTCTTCTGTGGGTGTAAATAATTTCTTCTTGTAGATCCATCTTTTAACTTTGTACATATTTTCTATGCAAAGAAGATAAAGTAACACAAAAAATAAACAATAAGAAATAACAATAAACATAAATGTGGGGTCAAAAGAAAATGACAGACAGTCTTTGTGATTTTTTTTTTTACTCCTTAACAAAAGCAAGAACAACAAAAACCTCACAAGCCATATAACATATGCAAGCATATGCGAGAAGACAGTGTGGTCAGACGAGACCAAACTTTGTCTTTTCAAAGTTTTACATGCAAAATGCAATGTGTGCAGGAAAAGCAACACGGCACATCCCCCTGAACGCAGCATCTCTTCAACATAACCCGGTGGTGGCTGCATTATGCTGTGGGGATCCTTTTGTCCAGCAGGGACAGGGAAGGTTGTCATGGAAAGAATCACCTAAAAGGAAAGTTCAGACCTAAATGCAACTGGTTAAAAATTCATGTTCCCAGTCACTTTCCTTCCATTCTGCCTGAGCTTGAGCTGCAAGAATCAGCAAAACTTTATGTCTCTGAAAAGCTGGAAGAGGCAAACCAAAATGACTACAACTACAGGAGCACTGACAGGCAGTTCCTCAAAGTATCAACTTAAAAAAGGTTTAATACAAATCCAATGTATACTTCTGACATTTTTGTTTGGGGAGAAAAATGGATGCATATATAATTTCCTGTTAATTTACCATCATTCCAACTGTGATCTGAAAACATTACAGTAATAAATATTTTTGCAAGTAAATAAACCATCTATGCACTACAACTACCTGTGTGAAAACCAGAGTCCCATTTACGCAACACCAACGCAAAAGCCCCAGCTTTCAGGAGCCAACTTTTAAAGCAAACACACATGCAATCCCTCACTGTCGGCAGGGTTATTAGTTGCCAGGGAAACATGTTGCTCACAAAACCAAAGTCCAATCTGAGTTGGAAAATCTCCATACTGTCTCCTGCAACCTCTCGTAGCTCTGCAGAGAGCCAGCCAAATCCACTTCATCCAGCTGATGACAAATTGTGTTGACCATTCCCAGCAGCTCCATGGGGGCTTGGTGACACGGTCAGAGCATGTTGTGTAACACGGTTTCCTCAAGACGCCGCGCTGCTTCCACTCAGCTAATGATCAACTGGGGTCAGACGTCGTATAAGTGGAGGCTGCTAAAAAAAAAAAAACCCGGGGATGGGGAGGCGAGAAACCAATCAGTCAAATGTGCGTCTTCTTATCTGTTCACTCAAGTGTGTCTGTGACCTTCACAAGACGTTTCTGGGACATCTGGCTTCACGTGACACGGCAGACTAGACACAGAGGGGTGAATTCTGATCACTAGAGAGAGAAAAAAAAACAGGAAAACAGCAAAGAGAGCGGAAGCAGGTGAGGAAAGAAAGACCTGAGGGTGATATGAAAAAGTAAACTGAGATCAGAGAACCTGAATCCGCAATTGATCCCTAAAACAAATTATTTTTATGTGCTTTCATAAAATCATTATGAACTGACATAATGTTATATAACTTACGTTTTAAATATATTCCTATTTCAGAACAAAGCAAGATGTTGTATGATTCAAGCAATGCAAATATAGCATTATATGCAACCTGCAGGACGTATCGATATGAGATAATAAACTATTTTTGTGCATTTTTAGAAGAACAGCTAAATAACAGTGCGGATAATTTAGAGAGCCGAGACAAATGTTGCTGTCTCCGAGTTAGCTTTTTTAATCCTGAAATGGTTTTACCTGCACATTTACCCCCCACAGCTGGGATTTTGCAAACCAAAACAAAAATAGTTTTTTAATATGAGCTTGCATTTTCTCTGCCTCTTTCTGTTAATAACTTGAGGGGAGAGGACTTTGATCATCATTGTCAAAATATTTTGATAACATTGTTGGGTACAACTGGATTACTGCTTTAAAATATCCTGCCACTAAGCATTTTCTGAAACTGTAAAGGTTGAATAAAACTTTTATAACGCCACAATAAAAGCAGTAAAACTAAAGTGATAGCATGTAGAGAATCTCTAAAGACATTTAAACATATACAATGCATATAAAAAGTGTATACTTGTTGAAATGTCAGGATGTTGTGATGAAATAAAAATACTTTTTAAGAAAATAGTCCAGCTTTAATGTGACTTGTACCTATATCCTGTACAACTCAACTGGAAAACAAACAAATCTGGTTGCAGTAAACTAATATTTTGTTGATTCATTTCCACCATTTAGTCTTCTTTGGTAGGAGTCTATCAGCACCTCAATATTTGCAAAAATATTGTCCAAATCTCAGATCGTGTGGACATATATATATTTTTCATGTTACCTCACAGACATGTTTGTCAGATTTACTTTTGAACTCTGGCTTGGCCTACAAAATAAAATATTAGATATGGCCATACATTTGTTGATTTGGATGTATGTTCTTCAAAAATTGCATCTCTCATCCACCTTGATTTTTAAAAATGTATGTCTAAAAACTGTCCATCACATGTCCACCGTCATGTTTCACTAAGTACATGGTTACTTTTGTTTTTAGTTAAATCATCCATATGTCACAGAGGTGGAGAAATACTGCAATGCTTTTTTTTATTTACATGTGTTACATCACAAAAACCTGGCATCTTAACAAGACTGTGTAGGCCTTTTAGATCCACTGTTAAACACCCTCACAATGAACACAAAGAAACATAAATAAAAGCCCAAAATATGAAACTGGTATGTTTGTTTTCTACTTTGGCATCCAGTGGCAGAATAGGAAAGGCTTCTTCTCTTTTATGGAGCTGTTTAAGGCTGCAGCACTTGGTAAGAAGGGCTTCCATAGTTTCTAAACTCATTTTTTATTCCTATATTGGATTACTTCAAGCCATTTCTCAAGCACTTAGATGAATACAATACTCTCTGTTTCCCAGAGCCTTTTTGTCTTACTCAAGATTGCATTAGCATGCAGTAGGGGGTCGGTGGAGGCGGAAACAGTCTGATTTGACTCAGAACAGAAAGCTCTTTTCGACAGCAAACTCTGATTCTACCCACAGCACAGATGCCTCTTGTTGGCGGGTTTCAACCACCTATATTTAAAAGATAAACCAACAGACAAATTTTCGGTGTAAAATAAATAAATCTAAATCCTGGCATGCCGATCTCATGAGGCACAGTTGCTCACTGCATTTGAATACAGATGACATGAAAACAGGCCATTTGTATGGGGGCTACTTAGCAGCAGAAATAAAACGTGCCATCTATAAACTGGGCATCGGCACCGAATGAAAAACTGACAGCGGGTCTAAAAAGGGGGTAAGAGGAAATCCTTGGGAGAAACGAACTTGATCGCAGAGACAGAACAGGACGAGGAGCTGGCAGGAAACCACTGAGAGCCTGCTCTCCGCACAGCTCTGTTGCCCAGAGCAATACTGCGGGAGATCGGATCTGAACAGAATTTAATTTTTACTCTCTTGTGTTTTTGCCACAAAAACTCGCTCCTTTAAATATTAGCATGAAGAAGAAGAAGGGCCAACATGGGAGTTATTAGTCACTTTGAGGACATGATTTCTGGATATTGTGGTCCAACAGTTGGAAAGAGAGTCACAAGCATAAACTGCGCGGGACATCAAAAGCCTCAACAAATCAACACCTCTCAGTTTAATAAAGCATAAAGTGATCTCACTCAGTTTCTGATGATGCACTTCCCTCCGATCCAACCCTGACAGAAGACCTTATGATCTCCACACAGCCGCTTTCCGTCGATGACCTCAAAGATCTGAGACATCACCAAGCCAGAGGTGGAACGTGGCCCGGTGGGGACCAGCGCCAGAACCGACAACCGGCTTCATCTGATCCACAGCTGCATGAGCTGACAAACAGGACCACCGGAACTCCGGCTGTTTTCACTAGGAGTGTCCTCATTAAGTCACAGCCCTGAAATGTTTACTCCTGCGTTTGTTTGTTTTAATTTCATCTGTGCGCCACAGCATCAGGGTGTGTGTGCGGGCGTGTGTGTGTCAGAGGGCTTTCCTGGATAAATAGGATGTAATGGTGAAACTCCGCAGGTCACCTGCTGCTCTGAACTTTGAAGCACAACAGCTGGAGAAAATAAGGCAGAAAAATAATGTGCTCCGAAATTAAACAGAAGACATGTGTGCACCAATGCACATCATGACCACAAAGCAGACAGATGTGAGTTTTCTGGTGAAAAGAGGATGATCTGATTGATTTTTAGATGAAGATTTTCACAAACATGATCTTTAGAGATTTCTTGAAAGTCAAATGCATGGTCCAGTAATCCAAATTTAAAAACTTTATTGTTTCAATCACTGTTTGAACAATGAGCAGACATCATTTTCTCTTAACTTTCCATATAAAAGTGTTCAGACTCGTTGAAATTCTCCCTTTTTATCCCATTGCAGCAGCAAACTTCAATGTATTATGCAGAGATTTTGTTTGCTACGCTAACAAAAACTACCCAAAAAATAAAAACAAAACAAAAATACAGAGCTAAATACAAAAAAGACACAATTCCTCCAATTTTCACAGAAAATGAATATCAAAATTTTAATTTGCAGCTCTGCTACGTCACCAATTATGCATCACTTTGTGTTGTTGTGTCATATAAAATCCATATAAGGTCAACTAAATCAAGTTATGTGAATACTTAACTTGGAACCTGTAACTAACCTCCACAAATCAAATACATTTTCAGGGAACTGTTCCCCAATTTGAATGGACAAAACAAGCTGAGATCTGGAAAACGATGTAAACTTTTACATCAAATCAAAACTTGTTCCACTGAAAAGTCACATCTGCACGAATACAAACGTCATTTCAGAGAAAACTGTTCTCGCATCTTTGCACAAAATTCTTAATCGGTTGTGTCACTATGCATATCCTGACGAAACCTGATGTTTCACTTCTGCAGATTGGCCCTCCAGGGAAAAACGTGAAGAAATAAATATTCAACACAGCATAATAAACTGGACACTTTAAATTGCAGAATGAGTATAAATATATTACTATCCCAAATTAGATTGTTATCCAACAGATGTTGTCCTTAGGGACGGACGAAAGTGTTCTTTATTTTACAATCTGATAAATAGCACAACATAAAACCTATTTGGATCACTGGATGAACAGAACTTGTTCATCCAATGCTGGATGTGCTGATGCTATGAAGTTAGTCAAAAGAAAGACGATGCAATCAGAGCTTAAAAGCTGATAAGAACTCAGAAATATGCAATTTCAAACTATTATTTCCTGATACAAATCCTGCACACAGTGTAGAGCTATGAATATGAGTGAGGCGGATGAGAGGACAGACTGTTAGTATTTATCATAAATACAGCAAACTACAAACTCTACTGAAGTATTTCTTCATCAGTTCACAGACACAAGGAGGAAGTTTTTCTCTCCGCCTCAGCTGGGCATTAAGGGTCTGAATTGCATCCCATGCCTGGACCTTGAAGCGTTTTCCCATGAGATAACAAATAAAGACAGGAAGTCTCCAAGGGGCCCCGGCTTAACTTGGACCAATGTGGTTCGATAGTCGCCAAATTAGGCTAGTTCTCATGTTGGCAAGAGGGGAAAAAACAGAAAGCTGCTGGACACGTGGAGGCCAAGACGAACTGGCACAGTAAACTAAATCAGTTCAAGAGAAAATGCTGAAAAAAATCATCTTTGGGACTGATTTCATAGAAACTTTTAAATAGAGACTAAGGGTGACTAAGGGGGACCGAGTATGCTTCCTTGAACAGTTTAGGGTAGATCTACGCACTAAACAAAAACATATTCAATACATTGTTTTTGCTCAGAATTATTGTCAGATAATGAGATTTCTGCCTATTCTGAGCTCCTTTCAGAACCAGATGTTTAAGTGCTTGTTGTCACTTTAAACCAAATAAACTGCTGCTAACTCTACATTTACACTCGCACCTGAAAATGGCTCCAAACAGGTGAGCAGTTATACAAGCGTAAATCTTTGACCCTGAATCAGACCCAAAAGCAGAAGTAGAGCCTCCTGCACGACCAACAAGAATCCAGCAAATGGTTTCTGAATAGTAAGTCAACAACAACACTTATCTTTTCCAGCAGCCGTTGTACAGAGCATACAGCAGTAAAACCAGCTGCCCAAATGTGCTGGCACTCCGCTTGGGTTGTTAGGTGATAACCAGGGCGTGGCTCGGGTTGCTAGGTAGGGGGCAACCCGAGCCCAATCGAGGTCACCCCAATCGTAACCTCGATTGGGGTTGCTGGGTAACACCTCAGTGCCCATCGATTGTGTCTTAACAATCAAAGAACATCAATTTATTGCCAAAAAAAAAAAAGCTGGGTGGTTTTTAAAGTATTTATAGGCTGTTTTTAAAAGCAGTTGAGACCCAAATGGAAACACAAAAATGTTGAATTTTGGAATCATTTCAAAGATTCAACATTCTCTATTTGTTTTAATTGGCGACTGCAGTAAAAGTTGGTGATTTTCAAGTATTTGGTCTAATTTCATAATGTACTTCAATTAAAACACAGTCAAAGAATTAACAAATTAGAAATGTACTTAAGGGCTGGAAAACAGCTTATTTAATTGCTTCAATATGCATCAAAATAGCCCATTAATTGTTTGTATAAGCCAGATTTATTTAGTAAAGTCAAGTAAAGTTCAAGTATTGGTAATATTGGAATGATTGATGGTCGGCCAACAAGCCTCATGCCAAGTGTTTGTCTGTTTCATTAAAGCATTAAAGACAGAGTTAAAAGATTACTCCAGTGTTGCAGGTATATATTTACATTTTGAACGTGTAACCCACTCCCGAGTGTTTTTAGCTTGTTTCAAACCAGTTTTACAAAAACAAAAAGGCAACACTGTAAAGCAGGCTGTAGGAAATGATGAAAAAGTCGTCTTCCTGCCAGAGAACTCACCGCTGTAGAAACGGATCATGCAGCTGAGGTCAGAGTTGGCCGCTTCATGCTGCACTCGCACCGGGTCTGCGTAACCCATCGATGTCAGGTAATCGTAAACCATCTGGAGGGGACGCTCGCTGGGGTCCAGCCTCCTGCAGGATCGAAACATATATCTAGAGGAGGACCTGACCACAGATTTGAATAATGAAGCAATGATCTGTGGAGCCACCAACAAATGCTCAGAGAAATCCTTTGCCCTGTGGAAAGTTGAATTGCCTGGAAGAGCAACGCAACCCGAGTTGACCATGAATCCCTGAAGAAAACTCAAAAAATAAGAACATTGTTTAATTTATGCGTTTCAAAAGTAGGAATTCGTTTTTCATCTTTCATTATAACATAATAATTTATAAATGTTTCATCTTTTTGGAATGACCCCGTTCCATTTGGTATAAATATATTTTTTCCTTGCTATTCGTCAGGGATTCAAATCTCTAGAACTTTATTACATTTTTGTCACATTCAAAGCACAATCTTTGGTGCAGCTAGTCGAGAGTTATTGGGACAGACAAGCTCAAAATATGGTATTATGGTGAAGTGGAAGGAAAATATACATGGTCTTAAAAAAATGGTTTTGCAAAACAGCTGAATGTTCCTGTATTTAGTTCTAACTACATCAGTGTGACGTCACTTTTAGACAGAGTTTGAATTGAGGAAATGACATTCGATCAGAGCTCCTACTTCCAAATATTTGCTGTGTCTCCAAACTACAAACAGAACTTCCTGCTTCTCTCCATTCATATGCAAAGTCCAGATTTGCACACCTGAAAGACATCATGTTTATAGATACTGATACCAGAGTTTCAATGGGCCTTTTGGCTACATCAGTGATTCATGCTCTCTTTTCTCTTCCTGTTATGTAGACGGCCATATCTTCGCTACACGCTTCCCATTTCCAGATGATGAATTGAACAGCGCTTGGCTTTTTACGACGGTTAGGGTTCCTGTTATGCCTGCACAACACAAAGGTGTGTTGGCACTTTCTTTGAATCCTTACGGTTTTTCCAACTCCTTGGATTTTTTTTCCCCCAGGCCTCTAACTGCTCATCTTATCAGAGGTGACCTCATAAAATCATAACTCTGCAAGGCTTTTTTTAATATCTGACTGGATGAGCTTCAAGAGCCAACTAAGTTTATATTTACATTGAAAGGTAAAGCGATTTAAAAGGCCCCTGATATCAAACTGCATTCTCCTCCAGGGAAAAACCATTTAAAACCATGTGTGGGTCTGGGAGTCTCCTTCAGGACATTTCCAATGGATGACTGTAGCTGGGAGGAAACTCCAGGAATACCCGCATCGTGTTGGAGGGATTACATGCCGAGTCTGTCCTGAAAAAGCAATTAATGGATCCCTGAGGAGGAGTGAGCTGCTGGGAAAACAGAACCTTGGGCCGGCTCGGTAACCCTCTTGGAATGGGATACCCACCAGGACAGGGATAGGTGGTCCAAAAATGGAAAGCACGGATCGACACGATTCATCTTATTGTCTTATTATGTTTTGGTGCAAAAGCAGAATTGGTTATAAAGGATTAGAGATTGTCTGAAAGCAGCACGTTATCACAAACTGTCAAAGGAAATCAAAGGCAAAGAGGAAAAACTTCTCTTTCAAAGAAAAATAATCGACAAAAACTTTTGGGTTCAAATATCTTATAGGTTCAAGAGACCAATATACTCTTTTAGTGATCCAAAGTATTCGTATTGGACAAACATTTTTTGCCTCCTTAGCAAAAATATTCTTTAGTTGCTATAAAGACATCCACTTCTAAGTCACTCCTGGTCAGCTCTTTCCATTCGCCTCCAGTTTCACTCCTGGTATTGTCTTGTAGATTGCAAAACTGCAAACTGTGACTCACTAACCTACTAAACCGTGAGGTTTTTAAAGACAAATGGTCATAAATCTCTCTCTCTCTTTGTATGAGTCAACCTAGGAAAATTCTGCTTTATTGTCAAAATGAGGCTTTACGAAGTGCAGTTGAAGCCTCACTGGTTTTTGCTCCAGTGATCTAAAAAAAAAAAAAAAAAACCATCTTTAACATCGTTCGTTTTCTCCACAAGCAAAAGTACAGAAATTAGTGGAGGGGGGTTAAACTTTTAAGTGTGAATTTATTAAAGTCTATTCTACACATATATGGCAGGTATGCTGATAACTTTAGAAAACATTGCCGCACAACGACAGCCAAAAGTTTCACTGACAGTCCATGAGTAAACTGAGTGAACTGTCACACACCACGCTAGATAAGGCGCTGAGATTTAAGCTGAAGCCGAGCGCTTATTTTCTACAATACTATATTCCCGCTTTGGGTTTTCCAAGAAAGAGCAAAAGAACAAATTCCTTCCTGGTCACGGATCAGTGAGCCAGACAGTCAGGGGGTCAGTTGCTGTTTTCCAGAGGGCCTGCGGTGGATCTGAAGGGGTGTATGCACCTGGAGGGTAAAACTGGTGAGGTGCTGTGGGAGTTTGGGATCAAACGGTATGTTTTGTATTCACTCAGGCTAGTTCGCTGTGACATTCTGCTTAAACAATAAAAATGATGAATGTCTGTTTCGGTAAAAATTCTTCTGCATCGCCTACGTCTTAATGCAAGTCGATACACTTATAGCTGCAGTGTCTCTAATGGAAGAGACGAGCTTCCATATCATCTCACGTTTCACTTCCAGTTCTGCTGCGCAGCTGAGATGCGAGGCGTTTCTGATCCTCCAGAAATGTTTTTCTTTCTCTTATACATGATTTCACATCAGACTGTGGTTGGTTCCTTTGGAGCGCGCGAGGATTTTGTTTGGAGCAGATCCACAGAAGACGTTTCAGCAGGACTGCAGCTGCTCGATCTTGATGTCAGCAAAGTAATTGCCGTTGTTTAGTTCTGATTTTGAGGACATTGCCAAGAAAAAGACCCACCCTACAACATCAGCCTCATGCAACTGCTTTCAGCACTTCATGTTACTGTACAGTGCATTTACCTGAGAAGGTCTCCATGCAGCTGAACGTAGAGTCCCTGTCCGTTTCTCTGAGCACAGAGCTCCTCCACGGTGGTGCTGGTGGAGCAGAGCACCAACTGCAGGTCTGTCTGAGGGGTGGAGGAGGCCTGTGGGCCTGAAGCAGGCGGCTGGGGATCTGTGGTGCCGCCGTAGAGGCACACACAGCCTCGTTGGGTGTCCCCCTTCAGCCAGTCCCGCTCTCGTGACCCGAATCTGGTTTTCCTCGTCACGCAGCTCCGGCTCCCGTTCCTCTTCATGTTGCGCTGCGGAAAACAGGGAGGTCTCTTCAAAACATGTTGCAAAAGAGTTTGAAGGAGGTTCAAAATCCAGCAACGACAAAAACACGAGTTACCGCTCAATAGCTGGATGATTTGTTTGATTCATTTTCATAAATATAGTTTAACAGTTTTTTGAATGAAATTAAAGAGGCAACAAATGAAAAGGAAAACTTAAAAAGTATGTAAAAAGCCTTATTTACATGTATTTGCTGTAGCAAAGAAATATTGAAAACAAGTAATTTTTCCCCCCCTCAATGTTGTTGTAAAACAGTAACAAGAGTGGCATCTTGGTGTCACATGTTTGATGCGCTAATTTTGCAGGAGGAAAACCTACAAAAAAAAAAACATACTCTGTCCTACCATCACAAACAGTAAAACTGTTTTTTAGCTGTACATGAATCATGCATTTGTAATAAATGAGATTATGCTTGAGAATATAGGCAGAAATGCTTCCACTCAGTTTGTTTTAGAAGAATGGATGAATATGTGGAGAAGAACCTCATCTGTGAGCGTCAACTATACAAACACTTCATACGTTCATGTTTTATTTGGTTGAAACAAAGGTCTATCTATATATCTATCTATCTACCTATATATATATATATAGAAACATGGCTTCTTGCCCAGAGTGCCCTTTCACCAATGGGAACCAAAAATATAAAAAATAGGAAAGATTACTTTTTAGTTGCACCCTGATCACATCTTCTAACACTAATGGAAGCCCAGTCAACAGCGGATGGGCCGTAATGACACATTAGGCTGAGCGCTGCAGGAAAATGTGACTATGCACTACAGATGGTTAATGGTTAAAGTTTGCACAACTAAAGGGACATTTCACTGTTTTTCAGGGAATCTGAAGTCTAGTTCCAGCTCAAAATCTGAAATGCTCAACCAGGTCAAACCTAAACTCTATACAATGCGACAATCCTTTGGCCTTTCTTTCCTCATCAGGGAAAAAAAAACACTAAAATGAGTTAGTTTGAGATTTTGGTAAACATCCTGATTGTTCAAACGGGGAAAAAATAGCAGTTTATATGTTTGCTTTCCCGCTTTGTGGGCCTTGGATTAACAAAAGCATGCAAACGACAACATAATAAAAGATTGATCCGAGCAGCTTTGATTTTTGAAACACCTCCAACATATAAATATAAATACTTTTAAAAAATCTAATTTTGTTCATTCCGATTTTTCCAGCCAACTATGTGCTGAAAATCAAAAATGAAAAGCAACATGGAGAGTAGTCATCTTAAATGATCAACCCAATTTCGAGGTGAACGAAGACGCTGACTAGAAATTCAAAACGTGTCCATTTTTCCTCAACACAGCTGAATTTGAAACAATTACTACACAGCCTCAGAACTGAACAGACATGTCTGATTGTCCACATCTGAATAAGAGATATTGGTGGAGCAGAGCATTTGGGCTTCTTTCACTGAACATTGAAACTGGTTTAATAAAAATAACACAGCAGGGAGGACTGACTCCCTGCAGATGCACGTCAAACATCATTTTAACATCACCAGAAGCCTGGGCAGGACGAGGCCTTCCTGTGACACATCTAAACACCCCTGTGTGTTTGTGCTGGTATTAATTGGATTTTTTGGTGCGCTCCTCCCTGAATGACAACCATCACTTATGATAACAGGTTACGCAACGCGGCCAGGACGCGTTGGAAATCATGCACTTTGCCCCCCGGCTCGGTGATCCGCTGCAGCGGGACTGCGAGGCGAATCTCTCCCCGTCACCGGCGCTCTGTCACCCGGTGTGCCGCCCTGCCCGTCATGACCTGCCTTCAGCACGCGGATCCCGGTCGCGGAGTGAGCTCCGGGTCCGCTGCGGCTGCCGCGACCCGCGGTCCGGCTCAGCCCCGCTTGGTGGACCGCCGTGTCCGGCTGCCTGTCGATACAAGCCCCGTTGTCTCCGGCATCGCCTCCCTTCTTGGTGTCGGCTCGGATGTTGATGGCAGGGACCGCTGGGCTGTTTTCCTCCTCCTCCTCCATCGCCATGTATGTCCAGCACACCCCCCGGTGTCAGCAGCCTCAAAAGGCAGGAGCGTCCCCGGAACACGGCTGGAAAATTCCCACAGAGAGAGGAAAATTCATCCCGTGTCGGCGCTGCGACGCCATATCCAAGACTAATCTGACCGCTGTCACACAGGCCCGCCTGCCTGCCGGGGAGCTGATCAATAAACATTACAGGGGCGGGTTCAGGCTTTCCTTTAACTCCCACTGGCGCTGTCAGAGGGGAGAGGCTTCAAATGAATAGTAATGAGTTGGACAAAAAAAATAAAAAAAAAAGGCTTCAGTGGAGGTACAGTTTAAGATCTGACTGTATTGACTTAAATGTAAAACGTTATTTTAAAGCAGAGCATGCCAACTTCCTATTGCGCATGCATTAAAAACCACCAGTGAAGTTCTTCTGGACTCAGGTTACATCCAAGTTCTTTTTTTCTTTTTTTTTTTTCTCCATCCGATGCTCGTGTGTCTTCCTGTTCTCACGCTGTCTGTCCTGCTGGAGGAGTTTGATTGTCACAGCAGGGATTCCTCAGGGTGAAAATAAACACACGGTTTCTGATGGCATGTCAGCCGCACAGCTCGACAGCAAACAAAAACAAATCAGGTGAAGCAAACATGCTGCTCTGGAGAAGTGGCGACTTAAATTTGTGCCGTGCTTTGCACAATGATTCAGGTGATGTGCAGTAAAAGTTTATAAAAAATATGCACTGTTTAAAAAAATAAATAAATGTATGAATACAAGTGTGAAGATTATGGAGTGCATTTGTGTTCAGCCCTGCTGGATGAACACTTTGCAGATCTAACTTTGCAACTCATCAGCCACATGTCTTTGGCAAGTCATTAGACTTTGGTGAGTTATATTATATTAGCACTATTGAGAAAAATACTCAGATTACACTTTGAGATGTTTACTAACTGGTACAAAAGTAAATTATTTCCTTTATATTGAGATGTGAGGATGTGCCACATCCTGTAAAATGATTTATAAAGATGGAACAAATGAATGTGCAAGTACATTAGCGATCAATACTTAATTATTGATTAATTCTGGATTTTCAAATCGATTAAAAGAACAACTAATTTCAGACTCTACGTCTGAGGAAAAGTTACTCATCATTTTACTGATCACTGATAATAGTGCATTCAAATGGGAATCCTAATTATAATAAAAGTGCTTTCTGTTAGTCCTACATTTCAGTTGCTCATTATGATTTCCCCATCCAATAACTTCAGAACTGAAATGTGCCTTCAGTTCTGTGGCAAAGCTTCATCGTCTGCCTGCAAAGCTGAACATGTTCATGGATCCCATGTTGTGGCCTTGCTGCCTCAGATGACAGATTCCTGCTGCAGTCACGGTTCACGTCTCTTCCTCATGACCGCATATGCTCTTCCCACTAAAACAAACTCCTTCCATTTGGTGACGACAGACGGCCGCCCGTTCTCAGTCCGGTTCTGCTGGAGTTCTGGGCTCCACTGGTGCAGTTGGGATCCCCTCGGTGAGACGCGTTTCAATGTTTAACAATACTCGACGTGTCTGAGAAGTTTGTGTGTCCCATTTGTGGTATTTCTTGCAAGTCCAGTTGCATCAGACACTCTGAAATCACAGCACTTTTTTGTTTAAATCTACTGACTTTCTCACCCACAACAACTTGGGTTTTAAGTAGGCTTTGAAACTGGATAGTAATCTTAAATGGCAGCCAAATAGACAAGACTGTAACAAAACCAACGAACTCGAGTTATAGATCAGGTAAGCAGAGAAGATTGGTTCTCAATGGGGAATTAGTGATATTTTACCCCCCTAATGTGGGACTTTTTAAATCTAGCTCTTATTTGCATTTAAAGGTAAAGATTTGATCCATTTGGTTCAAGGCTTATCAAGCTTTAAACAGGGTGACGATAAGTGCAGATGACACTGTACAAGTAAAAATCAGTGATTCAAATTTGTAAAATCCAAATGTTTTCAGTAGAACTTCCTATTCTAGCAAATTGAGTTGAACACTTGAGTAGAAACAAACGCAACTGATTAGTACTACATTTCGTTTGGAAAAAGAAAAAGTTTGTACCATTTTCACAAACTTTTTTTTTTTTGGTTGAGGTTAAAAACCCAACTTTAGTTTAGCAGAGCACACATGGCACAAATTTTCATACTTCAACTTGAGTTTTATTTCACTTTTTTATTCGCTTGATCATCATCTCCAACCCAAAGACAAGAATACACAGCATAAATTGAAAATAATCCATTTAATAGTTTACAACTTCTCATCTTTAAAGATTTCATATTTTCAGTCTGACATTCACACTCTCCTCGAAGTGAAACAGTGAATCTCACGCCGCTCCCCTCCCCAACAAAAAACACAAAATTAAAATCTGATTCGTTTTTAGACGTTTTCGGGCCGGGCGGGTCGAAAGACGAGGGAATGGGAGGTCACAGGTCATGTTTTCAGAGCAAAGTGAAATCCATTTTATTCCCCCTCTTTTTAAAAACAAATAGAAAAGGACCACGATGTGCATTTAGATGCTCTTTCAAGCCCTTTACAAAACGACTTAATCCCAGCAAAAGAAGGAACAAATAAAAAACACACAAGGGATCCAGATGATGGATTTGTATTTTCTATGCCACAAAGTGAAACAAAACAAAACAGTAACCAGGTTGTAAGCTCATGATGAATGATTTCTAATTGCCCCCCCACCCCCGATGGGAGCGCGACAGATTTGAACATTTAAACTTTTCTTGCATTTGCAAAAGAGGTTTCACGTCAAGAGTAGAAACGTCCATATTTACAGTTCTTCACATGCAGCTCAGAAGCTGAGAGTTGAAATTGCAGCCAAAAGAATTACGTCCTATGCGGATAAAAGACAGATAGCACACCATCGCGCTCCATCAAAGATGATTTTCTTCACACACACACACACACAGACCTGACCACACCCACTGGCAGGTGCTCGTTTCCTTCCTCCTCATATAGTGTCCAAAGCTTTAATGTTGGGCTCACTTCCATTTGTAAAATGTTAACAGCTTCATAGAAAGAACTAATCAGGCATGATTAACATACAGTTTGAATAAGACCACACACACACACACACACACACACACACATAAAAACAAAAACACATTCAGGAATAGGTGTATGAAACGTCCTCTCACCCCGTCAGCCTTCCATTTTGCACAGCTCCCCCTTGTGTTCACCATCTTGTAGCACATGCTTCATCTGGTTTGCCTCCATTAAACAGAAGCAGATTAAATAAAACTTAAAAAAAAAAAAAAACGCTCTAAAAGAAATAGAACATTGTATTGATTTATATCACAAAAACTTTGAGCTTTCACATGGATTTTACAGCATCATTTTGGATTGTAAATGACAGTCAAACCTTGCAGGTTGAAAGCAAACCAATTGAGCATAAAGGGAACTTTAAAATATAAAAAAAAAGAGGAGAAAAACAATGCAGGCATGGCAGTAGTAGTGTCCTTGTTTTTGGATGGAGCGAGAGCGAGAGCGAGAGAGCGAGCGAGCGAACACACCAAAACTAAAACGGGCTTCACAAAAACAAAAGGTAGGTTGAAGAGAAGATCAAGAGAGCATGTAAGGCCAAATGAAAGATGCTGCTCTGCAAGAGGCCGTAGATGCGAGAGGTGTTCGAGTGGCGGGGGAGCAGAACTCAAGTCGCTGCTCCTCAGTAGTACAGTGCATCATTCAGAGGGTGTGTGTGTGTGTGTGTGTGTTAAAGCCACATTAGAAACCCACCATCCAGAGACACCAAACCTGACGACGGCAGGTCGTGACGTCCAATCAGGACTCAACAGGAAATCGAATGAAGCTCCATTGCATCCTTTTGAGATTACTTTGTACATATATGCATACAATTATAACTTTCCAACTAATCTTTTATGTGGATTTTATTTAATCTGATCAGCGCTTTTGTTTTACAACTATATACAATGTACAGGCAGATCATAAATCTTTTACAATGAATGAGTGATGATACATACTTGTCTCATTATAGACCGACTAAATCTATTTTGAGGAGTTGGAATTTTGTTTAGAAAATGATATCTAAAAAAAGGATGAAAGATAGTACAATAGACAAAACATTTGTAAAAGCCCTCAGTCTGTACAGAAAAAAAGCCAATATAGCATTCATCAACAAACAGAAGAAAAACGTTCAGCAGAAAAAGATTTCTCCATATACACATATCATGAGCTCAAAAATATTTCCAAAGCTAATAGTATATCTCTGATTTGGTCACAGAAGTTAAAAGATAGTGAAGCATAGTGAGAGGAGTTATATCGGCGGATCATAGTGAGGCTGTGAGTTCAGCAATGAGATGCACAGACTGCTGTTAGTTTTCTTCATGCAGACGCTCCCCCTCCATTGCATTTGGTGACGAAACAAAAGCTGCCACTAAAGTTAACAGAAAGGAAACAGTGTGAGGTATTAAGGTTCCTATCCCCGATGACGGTATGCTTCTGACGAGAGAAGACGGCTTCACAGAAAAATAAGTTTCTTTAGCTCTAATAATTCAGCCTCTGTTGCTTGATGGAGTTTGGGGAGGATTTGGGAAATAACTGATGCCAGCTTGTCAACGTTTACACACATTAGCTGCCATTAACTTTGCCTTAATTATAGGATTTAAATATTATCGACTCGTTTTTATTAGAAATCTGAGAAAATCAAGTTAGAATTTGAAATATTTTACTATAATTTACAAATTCCTGGACCAAAAATTGTTGCTCAGCTTCGTGGTACTTTAGTTGAAATCTGTCAAGAGTGACGGACGACGCTCGCATTTTTTTTTTTTTTTTTTTTTTTTTGTAACTCAGCCAAGTCAGAAAGGCACATCACTTTGATATCAGGCATAATTACTGCAGAAACAAAACAAACTCACAAAATCAGTGCCGATAAGATGAGCATCCCTGACAAAAGAAAAAAAAAGACTTGGAAAGAAGAATTAAGAGAAAGAAAAGCATTCAGTGCAAGTTACTACATTCATGACAGGCTTCATTTACATGTGTGAGCATGGTGACCAAGTTCAATCAGGTTAAACAAATCAGAAATAGAAGTCAAAATGCAGTCCCGACCGATGACACAGATGCAGGAAAAGTTTAAAATGCAGATCTCTCTCTGACACAAACGCAACTTGTTTTCAGATAAGTTTCGGAGCGATAACGTATTCTCTGCAGTACATCAAAC